AGAGGCTAGATAAATTAATAAAGCAGTGTTAATGAGGCGGTCGTCGTGGCTCTAACGGCTGACGTCATCCCGCCTCGTTCTTTTAATCCCCATTTTCTCTGCTCCTCGCCACCAACTCTCAATTGACTTTGCCCTTATTCAAAGGCCTTTCAGTGGACCCGTTTCAGGCCTACCGACGCAATGTCTACGCTCGACTGACTTCTCAACGTGCCTTCGCTCGTGGCGGCAAAAAGTCAGATACGTTTTGTGACTCTTTCCAAAGCAGCACCACTGAAAATCAGTGTCAAATGGAAGCTTATAAAGGACTCGTTCTGCAACTTCCTTCAGAATCAGAATCACCTTCAAAGAATGAAATTGAGATTCAATAAACAGTAGAGCAGTATAATAATTAAATACAGCTTCACTCTATCTTCTATTTAATGAATCATAGTATCTATTAGGCAATAAATGTCCATATTAACTATACTGTCAATAATATGCCCTAATTAGTATTTATAATGAACCGTAGCAATACTAATTCTACAATGCTTAATTAACAGTAACAGCAACAACACTGAATCCAGTTTCATTCTATTTCCACTTCCATGAACCATGATATCTACGTCATCTATTAAATGTTAACTGTGTTAACACATTCGCAGCCAGCAATAATTTCAAACTCTACAGCCAAGTGTCAATATACTCTTGCGATACCTTATTCAACGTTTACAACGATTCGTATGCGTCCTGCAACGGCTAGAACTCATTATATCCTTCATAAATCATTATCAGCGCGGTCGCCACAGTTACGAGCCACAAGGCAGTTAGAAAGCAAACTGTTGAATGAATTTGCGTCGTACAGCTAAGAGCCTCGCCGGCTGCGGATATGTTAATTTCATTCGCCTCGAGTGTTCACGCTAGTATCGGCCGGTTAACAGGTCGAACGGCGATGCTTTTTCCAGCGTACCAACAAAGTTTCCACTCGCATTCGGCGGAGATTCGTTGGTTAGCTCCGCAGCAATCCAAGCGTAGATGAACCGTTAAATTTAATTGCACCTCGGACCCGACCGCATGCGGTTTACACTGGAACTACCGGACGGATCGAAGGGACTCGTCCCAGAAGATTTGCTTCACAATTATTGAAATTGTTCGGATACCTTTGTGAGAAATTGCGAAATATGTTCTGTATAACTCCTAGTGAAATGTAGGTGAGATGGCACAATACCATTTAGATTGTCAAGTATACATATTTTTAATTGTATTCAGTAGTATACTGAATTTTGCCTAGGTGACTGTTTAACTATTTTTCTTACATACATTTAATTTGATAAATATAGACGTTTATTTTTATTATATATAATTGTTGTTAGATATTAGTGATGTAACAGTTTTTGCAAAAGAATCGAACCATCTCTTACCCTATTCGTAGAAGACATTTTAAATCTCAAGAACTGTTCTAGTTTTCATAACAAATTATGAATCAGTTATACTAATTGCTCGGTAGTTAACACTGAAACCAAAATAATAACAAGTAGTAATTTGTCAAGACTGGAAGAGTACGTTTCTTAAGACTCATAACGCTTATCATCGCACAAATACAGACATTTCGAAATTTCACATAAAAGTATCATTTTAATAATTGAGAAATAAAATCTTAACGCATTGCGGACGGAGAATTCTCGTGTTCTCTGTACCTGAGCCGATCATGAGAGTCGTCTTTCCATTGTTGTCGTTTACAATGGAGCATAAAGCATACCTGGCGACTGGGTAAAGTTAGCAATAAAACTACTGAGTGTTAAGATTGCCCATTCCCATCCGTCCGGTAGTTCTAGTGTCAATGTAACCCTACCGCAACGGGTCAGCAATAAACGCGAGCTGAGTCGCTCATTGACTTTTGATTCACTGGGTATGTAGGTCGTTTGACGCTGGCCCCAAGTGCCGGTCTTATTGTCAGAGTAGGTCGTCGGTCTGCCAAGAGTCCGGCCGGTAAGAACCGACGTACTCGACCTCTAATTAAGTGACAAGAAGAGCAGACGTTGTTAAGCCGGGCTACTAGATGCTGAGGCAAACGGAGACGGTCTTGGGAGACCTTGCGTCCCAGGTGGAAGCGAGGAGGCGGTTAGGAGAACTTACATCTGAAGACTCAAAGCACTGATCTTCAGCTCCAGCCGGAGAACAGGGCTCTCAACAAGGGAAGACAGGGTTAAGGATCCTCTACTGTGCCTAGAACATCAGAAATTAGCTGGCAATATTGGAGAACGTTTTAAGGTGTACTTCTTTGTGATAGAAATAGTGGTGAAGTAGATATTACTTGAGGATAAATGGTAGTGTCTTTGATCTTGAGAGGTTTGGTAGCTGAAGGGACAATTCTTGAGCCTCTAGAAGATGAATAAACGAGTTAGCAGTAATTGGTATTGGTTAAGAGTTTCAAGGATAATTGCTAGGTATAGTGTTTCTAATCTAGGCAAGTTTGATGGTTGAAGGAATTACATTTCTTGATCCTCTGGAAAATGAGATAGCTGTGATTTGTTCTGCTTGAGATCTCCAAGAATAATTGGCAATGATGAATGCCAAGAATACTGTCTTTAATCTTGAGAGGTTTGATGGTTAACAGGACAGTATTCCTTTATTCTCTAGAAATGAATAGACGAGTTAGTGGTAATTGGCATTGGCTTAAGAACTTGAAGAATAATTGCCAAGAATAGTGGCTTTGATCTTGATAGGTTTGCTGGTTGAAAGGATAATATTCTTTAAGCTCCTAGAAAATGAACAGCCTAGTTATCCATTATTGGTATTGCCTAACAACTTGAATATTAATTTCAGGAATTAAGTATTCTTGGTCCACTGGGCAACGAGGATTAAACTTAAGTGAAACTGTCTTGTTGATCTCGCAGACTTTATCAGGTAGTTAACAAAGCGTTAAATCAGTCAGGCTAGAGATAGCAGGTTCGCAGTAGCTCACGACATTAGTTGGATCAACGAGGAACGAATCGGTGGATGAAGTCACCGAGTTTTCTCCCAGCTGACCAATTGAAATCGTTTAATCTGATGGTCGCTGGTTCTTGGTTGCTCTTAAAGGTGATTTTTCGAGGAACGTCCTCCTGTACAGCTAATATTAACAATGTACATCAAGATTCTTTCTTTGTTACACAATTATTAATTTTGTTACATAATCAATTGTATTCATATAGAAGGTTAAAGAATTCTCTTAAAAATGGAATTTCTTCATTCCATTCTTAAAGAAGTTAAAGTATCTACAGAACTCCTAAGTTCCCTGAAGCTACTACTTATTTCTTTCATTCGAGACTGGATCACGGAAGTCCATTAAGGTAAGAAGAAAAAACAGAGAAAATAGAAACTGGTTCAAACTGTGCTCTCTCGTCATCAGAATTCACCTTTATACATGGTTAACAGCAGAGATCGAATGTTCATGTAAATTTCCATTTTTATGGGTGAGTTCAGAGAAACTGGAATTAAATGCAGTTCTAATTCCTCTTTCGTTTCCCAGCTAAAAGAAATAAACACTTTCTTCTCATTCTCCTAACGATTTCACATAGAGTGAAAATGAAGTAATATTATTTCAAATGTCATTCGAAGCTCTAGCCTTTTAAATCTGGAAAACATTTAATACATATTAAATTCAATTAAATTCTTTTCCTTTTACTTTCACCAAAAATTTGAAGCACTTTAAAACTGGGGACCTAATTATCACCTTTCTGTCTATTGAGTTGATGCAAACATTTTTTTGGAGCAAGTACAGATATCTTTTCCCCTTCAAAGTAACATTTTCAATAAATGCAACAGTTCCATTGCTGCAATGGAAATTATATAATACATTAAGCCAATATATTTGAAAAACTCTTGTTCTTGTTTCTTATAAAAGAACATCAGGGCTTTTTCATCGACCCAATTAGACAGATCCGGAGTCTAGAGAAGAAAGTGGTGTCGGTGCACAGGTACGATTGGTGCGAATAGACTTCTACTTTTCTAGGTCGAGCCGATTTCAGTTACCTGGAAAATGGAACAGGTGACCGGCATGAGAACGCTTGTAATCGGCTCTCGATTGAAATGCGCGTTTAATTTGGAACAGTGAACGTTCAACTGTTTGAAATCCAGACTTGAAGAGTAATTAATTATCTGTTGATCATTTTCACTGCTTACTAACAGTAATCGTAATCATAACAGTAATTTAATTGTCACTGAGATTAACTATTAATTACAAGTTAGTAATTATACATTACATTTACCATTTGTAATAGAAAATCTCTAGTTCATGATTGACTGAGGACTACCGGAGTTTTTCAGAGAAGACGCAACAAACGAGGAAGCAGATTCAGTTGCATAACTAATGATTGTTCAAGCAATCGTTTCTCTCGATGGATTTGCTTCCATTACTTCTATCGTTCAACGTGATTTCTAGCTAGAATCTTCAATCTTTAGAGGACTGGCAAATTTTCTTCTGTAGCTCCTCATCCTACACAACACACAGATTATAAGAATGCATAAACTTTAGAAGAGTTACATTTATAAAAGATTATAAAAGTATGAAAAGTATAAAAATTAAAAGTTACCTTTCCTCTAAAGATCAATCATCAGTCACTTTAAGTCTCAACCAATATTGTGAAAATCCTCAGATTTTCTAGATAATATAATACATTATATTAATCACTTAATAATTGCTATTAAAATAATATTAAAATAATAGCAATTATTAAGTGATTAATGAGTGTGATACATTGGTATCCTGCACTTTTTTTTCAATTTCATTAAAACGTAAACTCTTAAATATCTCAATTTAAACTGAAATGGACTTAGACCATTTCCAAAATAAACTACTCATATACCTGTATCTATACAGTGTATGCTTTAATTTTATTGCCGCAGCTCCAAGACAAATTCCTGAGTCGTTACCAGTGCCAACTATAGCCTTTAGCATTTTCCATTTTCGTGTCGCCGTTGAAACGTGTCGGTCGCTGATTCGTTTCCGTCATTCAGCCGGATAAGTCTGGTCCAGTACTCACCTTAGCTGGTCCTCTACCCGCCGCACCCGGTGTCCATCGCAGGAATCCCTCGCTGTTCTGTGCGCTGGCCTTTTCGGGCTAAAAAACGACGCGATCGTGTCCCTTTTCCTCCCGGCGCCGGAGACCAGCCTTGATTCCGACTTGGATCTGAAATTCACAGCGGGACAGATCTCCGTTAGTCCGTGCGTCGATAAAGATCTCTAAAAAGGCCTGTTCAAGGTCGCGAATGCTTTGTTCTGCTATGTGTAATTGAGCTACTATAACGCAGTCCTGGAATGGCAGGTGCAACGGTGTCAGTTGTACGTATAACTGCAACTGTGAAGTGGGAACAATGTGGTTGATGGTTTAAAAGGAATGTAATTGGTATTGTTGATGTAGGAGGAATAGTAGAGTAACTATGGTTGAAGTAGTTGAAGTAATGTAGTAGAAGAAATTTAGTAGACATAGTTGAGTAACTGTAATAGGTATAGCAGAAGAAATGTAGTAGATATTGTTAAGTAATTCCAATAGGTATAATAGGAATAGTTCAGTAATTATAGTTAAAGTGTTTGAAGTAGTACAGTAGAAGAAATGTAGTATATACAGTTGAATAATTACAGTGTGTATAGTAGACACAATATACTAGTCATCTTTGAGTAATCATAATAGTACGACATAATAGTATAAGTGAATAACAGAAACTATTATTACACTAATCCATCAAGAACACCTGAAACATAATAACAGTCGAAGAACTACAGCAACTATATTGAAAAACTCACAGTTAATTTATGAAAACAAGAAAATTCCTGTTACTTAAATTCCAGTAACAAGGACTAACGAGAATCTGTATCTCATACACCAGCTCTAACAATAGATTCAAACACTCCTGTTACTATGACACGTACGTTCAACGCTTTAAATAAGAAAACAATTACCATTTTCAATGACTATTTACCAGCCGCCGCAGGACCGTCGGTCATCCTTTTTTTTTCGCGTTACAGAAGACAATAGCCATAGCACGGCGTGTCGGTACGAGTGTCACATAGCAAGAGGATCCTTTGAATTTTCATGAGCCGCAAGAAACAAATGCAACGTCGTTAAGCCACCGCGTGAAAAATTGCGACGCGATCGAACAGCGTCCCTCCTATGAATATGCAAACCGCTGGACACCAACGTCGCGCGCCGCGTAGGCGACCTGACCTGCCGATCGTGGCGTGCGCGCAGCGACGGTTGCATCCACTTAGGGGCGTTCGATGACGCACCGAGCGTTATCGGACACGACAGGAATTATGGCAGCCTCCGGCGACTGATAAAACCGGTAACGATCGCTCGCGATGCTTTTCGATTGCGCCGAGCTCGTTCGAAAACATGGGACACCAGTTGAACGGTCTCAAAGCGACACATATGGAGCGCGACAAATCGGCGAGGTCAACGTGACAGCTGACCGTTGGTCAACGGCCTCTGTTATTCCATCTGTTTATTATGAATGACCCTGTAAATCAGATCGTTTTCGTATTGTAAATAATATAGCATCCTCGGTATTTTCAATGGGAATCTTTTAACCCTTTGCACTCGAGAGGCGACTCTCACTAGTCGATTAAATACACCTAAACGATGATTAAAATTTAATATTTAATTTTGTATTAGGTATCAGCGCATGGAGATTAGAAATAAATTATCTTCTTGATTCATGTAAGATTTTTGTTTGTGTTACTTGCTAAGTGTTATTAGTATTTTAACGGAAGATAATAGATATTTTTAATGAAAAATATTGTCGAGTGCGAAGGGTTAATTATTTTTTAATTACTGGGTAGAAAATGAGATTGTTGTTTGTTTTGAATATGGTTATGTAAGAGTTATTATGGTTAATTATAATTTTGATTTGGTATTTGGAATTAATAGTGGTTAGTTGATTTGGGAGGGAATGAATGATGATTGTTATGAGAAAAAAAGTATTAGGGGACACCCGGGTTTGAACCGGGGACCTCTCGATCTGCAGTCGAATGCTCTACCACTGAGCTATATCCCCGATGTTGCAATCGTCTTCTAATTTACATGTTCTTCAACTGACTTCAATTGAGAAAATTGTATTATTTTTATTATCAAAAAATGTGTAAGATTAGTAAATGTATATTGTAAACTGTAAACATTATGCATACTGTAAACATTATTGTAGAGACAATAGAGAAAGTGATTGGCTGTTTTTTGCAGAGAAAGCAACATCACTGTTTCTGACAAGTATATACTGACATTTTTGGACAGGTAACTGAACAATCAGTTTTTGACGTGTGACAGGCAAGACAAATCTTGTAATAAAACCAATTAAAATCATAATTACCCGGTGTTCTAGACGTAAATCCTAAATTCAAACGTTTCAACGATAATGTAGTTACGAAGTTGGCAAGCAGTTGAAATGGCGGCATCTATCGCAATGTCGCCGAATTAAAATGTATTTATCATATGATAATGAAGCATCCTACATTATCATTCGTAGGTAAAACACCAGTAGAATTTCAAAATAATTCCCCATAAATGATTATGTATATACATTTTTTTCTAGCTACAATTATAATTATATAATCAAAAAGATAGTTGAATTATAATTAAGAATATAGTTTTGATATAAAAAGCCTAAACTATTTATATCTTCCTGACAATATAACATGTCAAATTTGGATCACAAAAGTATACAAAAATTACCCAAATAAATTACATTGTATTTAATGAATTACTGATTTGTTAACTGTAAGATATGATACCTGAATAAACAAACAGCTGATAAGACGTAGATTTCAATTGATGAAATTTCGTAACGATCTCTGTGGGAGCTCGAGGGAATATTAAACGCGTTATCGTGCCGATCCGGTTCTCTATCGGGACAGCTGGTCAGAAAGAATAATTTTCTACGAAACGTGTTAAAAATAGGGTCAGAGTACTCACCGAGTTTTCGTCGACTTCGTGATATTTGACGTGGCGTCAGTTGCCCGTTTAGAGGGTGTACGCTTGCCCGAACCCACGGACATTCCGCTCCGAGCCTGCAACAAAAATACTCTCATTAACAAACTAATAAAAGAAATCAATAACTCATAATCCCACAACATATTCCATGAAAGACACTAGCACAAGTTACAGAGTTAACATGACAAACGTTTAAATTCCACAATACAATTTTCCATTTTCAACACTAGAACTAGATGGATCAAAAGGATGCCTTCTTTTACAATTACTGAAAACGTAGATACTTCAAGAAATCATTACAGAGTTGATTCAATAATACCCAAACTACAATAATTGAATTACAATCTTACTATACCCTTATAATTTCAAAGAAAACTTCAGTTTAACTATTTGATAGTTCTAGTATTAATAACTTCTCAATCATTAATTCTCTAATATTAACAACTTGTCAAGTACTTCAATCAAAACCTTAATCAGTACATTTATACTTTCCAAGAAACATTCAAGAAAACATTCAAAAGTTAAATTCCCTCCAATTCGTTGACAAACAAAACAGAACAGTCTTTGAACCCCCAAGCAACACAAAAATCCAGAAAAGTCCCATCTACTCAGCTGAACCTTGCAAACTACAACAAAATAATGAACATTCGCTGGACAGTACAATTATAGAAGCGAAAGACGTCACTGGGAAACGCGATACGATGCAACGGACGGAGGCGGATGCGCTGCACCTATGCCGGAATCACGGGAATAGACGAATTGGCTAGAAATATCGTGGCAAGGACAGGGTCCGTTCTTTTTGCCGCACAAAGCAGACCGTACCGTGTTCCCTCCTAGAGCGTCAAGCAATTGCCGGATCATTTTAGCTATGATGATACACTCTGATGAATCACGACGAATTCTGGTGCAACGAAGTCCCTCTCACTGAATGGTCCCACACTGAACCATTATCCTGCACCCTGCCGCTATACGGATCGGCGTGAACCGTTCGCGAACGCGTTTCTAGCCAATACTGCTCCATTGTACACAAAGATGTATCACGGAATTTCAGGTAGTGAGATAAGAAGCGAATCGCTCGCGATAAGTACAGATATATATATATGTATATATAGGCTGGGTAACGTGCTATTGCGGAGGAGCAGATAACGCCTACGTTCAACGCTTAAGGTTCACCTCTTACCTCACTGGTAGCAATGGCTGTACGCATTGATCATTAAACGGTTAGAAGCAACACCTGGAATTGCACGAGTGCTCTGTTCCAATGCTTAATTGTTACAAGTGGAGCACAGATGTTCAGTAAACGGTCTGTCAGTGGTTTTACAGAAATTGATGGGAAACAGATGCTCATTTATTTGATAGTTATTCAAGATGCTATCACACTTCAAATGCAATGGAAACTTCATTGTACTTTCAGCTGGTATTCCTAGATCTCAATCGATTGCCTATCATCTTTTTGTTTGATTTACATGTTTAATTACAGAGTTTTAGAGATACTAGTTGTTACCATTTTTCATAGAAATTTTCTAGATCTTAATGTTTAAAATAAATGTTTCTAGATCTTAATTACTTCCTATTTGCTAGTTTGTTTGATTTATTTAATTATGAAGTTCCAGAGATTTTTATTGTTACCATTTTTCATTATATCATAGTACCACCTATTATTTACTAATTCTACCAATTAGTAGTACTATTAGTATTGTAATAATATTATTTATAAAGTAATAGTGTCAGTACATTACTTTAGCAATAGTATTACTTGTAAAGTTTCAAGTAACTGATCATAAATTAAAATTTTAAAGAGCAGCTCGTGGAATGAAAAGTTTTTAACGCTTCTCGGACAATTCCAGGTGTAAAAACTGTGGCCACCGTACGCTACCAATGCTGAAAGGGTGATTTTCAGTGAGCCTTGATCAGAAGAGTACGCGTTTCGTATACGTAGCTGTAAAGGTTCATCGAACCTAGCCGCTCGTACGGGTTCTCGGCCAATAATAAAGATGCATGCCCAGTACGTAACTACGTTCTGCACATACGTACGTAAGTACCACCCTGAACTCGTGCTCGCTCAAACAGCACATACTAAACTACTATACACAAGCTGATACAGAACTCCGCAATGGAAATGAGAATACCATGGGAATTGATAAATCAGTATCCAGCTACTGTAAAATCACGCAATTAAACCCTTTACGTTCTGAATTATTTTCTTCATGACCCTATCTTAGTACTTGTAATTTCTTCATAGAAACATTTACCATTATAATAATATTTATGATTACTTTGAGTTTAAATGATTCAATGTTGCTTAAATAACAGAGGTGCCATTTATTAGATAATAGTTTCCATTGTACTGGCTTATATGAAGAACAAAGCATATTGAAGCTGGTACTCTAAAACGCTATTTCAGAACATGAAAGGTTAAAGAATGTACCGGTTCTGGAAGCCTGGCAGAAGGCAATCCTACGAACGCTGACTTTGAATGAGTTAAATTGAATACGTTAAATCACACAGTCCTCAATGATAAGACTGTACTGGTACGGAATTCTGGATCACCGTGTACACACTGTGCCTATGTGTATACAAGGTGTTCCTATATAAATAACAATCAAGTATTCGATAGAATAAAAAGAATTCTCAATGAAAAATTAGTAACTAGTTGAATGTAACAATGAAACCGTACTTTTTTAACATGATGGATATACGCTATAGCACAGAATTAAATAATTATACTGTAAACGAAAAATTGCCGATCATTGAGCTCTTGTAACTTTGTGATGAATAGTCACACAACACTTTATATTAGCTCGTTATAAAGTGTGAAGTTTCTACTTTCGCCTTTCGCAAGCCATTTTTTCCTATGATGTTTCTCCCTTATGCAACGGGTGGGAAAGTAAACATGAATTACTTCCACAATTTCACGCATGGCCCTCAACGTGTTAACCACTAATTTCCTAAAGTTTGCAGCTGAGTACTGCAAGAATCTGTTATTCAGATGTGTATGAATATAAAAAATATACGATAAAACTGTGTATAGTCAATAATTAGCTACAGACTTTGGAACTAAGCTAAACATATGAACCCTTTGCACTCGAAAACTGTCCACTAGGAATATTCAACAATCTAATAAAAATCAGGCAGAAACTATTTTACTCCAACATCTCATACAGTGATAAATTGCCAAGTATAATATTGAAAAATGAATTTTCTATTAAATATGAAAATTTAACTTTATAATTTCAGCTCCATAATCAATATTGCCATTCAACCTCACGACTAACTATAAACATTAATATTCCACTTTAAATGAATACTAATATTAACCTTTATAATTTCAACTTCACGGCTAACTCTACAATAAACATTAATATTCAACTCGACAATTGTAACCCAATAACTTCCCTACATCAAGGCAACCGGTGACTACCAATCGATTTCCAAGTGCAAAGGGTTAACGCCGCGCGAAAGCCGAACGTTCCCCGGCCGTCTCCAGTTTTCCGCGTGCAAAGGTGAACGGTTTCCAGTGCACGGCCTGTTCACCGGCCGTGGTAGCATCGGAGGCAACGGTAATTCATAATCAAACGGGTAAACGAACCGTGGGCAACCAGAAGAATTAATAAACGTGCACGCAGAACCGCTCGCGCCGCAGTACGTAGTAACGATACAAACAAGATCCGCACCGTGCGCGGCGCGCAGCACGTGCAGAAGCGACCGGTTACTCACGGTTGAGCAGCGCGCGATTCCAGGCCGTCGACGGAACTGGAATTCCTCCGGCCGCCGCGCCGGTGGATCGTTCGTTCCTCGAATCACTCGCACGCTCGCACGCTCGTTCGCTCTCTTACATAATTAGCGAATTGACAAATATACGCACGCGTCGATTTGTAATCCAATATACAGGCCGGTGGTTCGTTTACAGGGCAATCCGCGTGTTCGCCGCTCCACGCGGGACGCGAATCGAGCCTCGTTAAAGTCTAATCAAGTCTTTAATGCCGTAACCCCTTCGCAGACCGTGTCTGCCACCGAGGAGAAATATTACAGAAGCCTCCTCTCTGGAGCAAATGTAGACCTTGAGGAGGATGAGTCGAGTGTCACGTGAACTGGATACTGTTTCGGAGATGAATGACTTCACTGCCACGAGAATTTCGATGTGGTAATTACTGTTCACGTTCTGATACCTTTTTTAAATAGTTAACTGGTTTTCGCTAGTGTTCTTGTTACAGAGAAGTGGTAGTTTTGGCTTTTGACGAGTATACTTGTTAGAGATAGTAAGGTCTTAGGCTGGCTATAATTCACGTTTTGCAAAGCTCACAGCAGCTAATTAGTTAACCCTTGCTGTCTATTTTGTAACTGAGTAATTTAGAAACATTTTTATAGCAGCTATGATGAAACGAAAATATAGTTCTTGGAGTTTTCTTGTTAGAAGAAAATTTGTATGTGCGACAGATGTAATAATCTTAGGGTAGTTTCATCAACTTTGTTCATTGAAATATTTAGTACTATAAATAATGTAGTGGAGCCTATTGAGCGCAAAGGGTTAATATCATTTCTGTAGTTACTGTAACAACTTTCTGTATGATATTTATAATATTTCTGTGAAGGTATTTATTCTGGACTTAAAGACCTGCTTTAGTATCCTCGACCCCTAAAATTTCTCAACTGTGATAAATTAGTTTCGTTACTAATTTATTAGAAAAAGAACCTTATACTGATTCCTTGTCTACGTTTACTACTAAACATTAAACATCGACAACAGACGAGTAGCATATAATTTATATTCAAGGTAAATAAATGATTAGATTTGTGGAATGTAAAATTGTCATAAGCCTGACACGTTTTACAAGCCAAGTGGTTAATGATCAATTTGGTAACCCGGTTTCCCTGATTCTAGCAATGGATTCTATTGGTTAGACTGATCTTAAGGTCTCTAACTATCCTGCAGTGATTGTCACTCGCGATTCCACTGAATGCATTACAATGAATTAGCTGTCGCACCTGCACATAGGTGGCCAACGTTAGCCTCCACTGGTCCCCGTTTGGTGAACCATAAACCCGTGCACCGTGGGCGAACGGTCTCGGTAACAGGCGAAACAGCGTACGAGAGCGGATTAGTCGCGAACCGACCCGCGCGATTCGACAGTTCAATGCGAACTGGCTGCGTTCGTACCATTCCACGCCGGGTTATCCCGTGAGTGACCTCTCACGCCGCCGGTACGCTCTTCCCTCTGCCGTCTTTCGGCCGCTGTTCCGTCGTGTTCAACCCTTCCGACGCTACTTTCCTCATTCCTTTCGACAAGGCCCACAAACGTTCCGATTTTTACAGGTATTTTTCGTGAGAGAACCGGTTGAGCGTTTACCGCTGATATTCTAGGGTTTGCTTGAGTACATCAACCCCGCGTCATTGGCGAGTACCGTGCCAAAAAAGTTCGATTGATCTATGCTTATTAGAGGCGTTTAGTTTTCTAAGTTTTCATGATATCATTTTTCAGGTCTATATGGGGATACTGATTTTAACCCCTTGTCTTATGATTTAGCAGTTGCACTTGTTGGAACTACTTATTGTCAAGCATTCACTAGAAAAATAAAAATTCTTTCATCTAATGATTTAAATTAAGAAATTAAGATAAACGTTACATTTGAACATGTAGGTTAACCCCTGCCTTATGATTCTTTTCACAACTATGCTTGAAAAAGACATTTTAGCATTAACAATTCCTCAGAAAATGAGAGAAACTTGATGCTTATTCTGTCTACATTTACTCCAGAGGTTAATCATTGAGAACAAAAAAGCACTGTTCAATCTCCATCTCCAACAAATGAATATATCACAGGACAACAGGTTAATAACATGCTGTTCATAAAACTAACACCATTAGAAGCTAGAAACCGTGTCAAATATTTTTAGAAAAACTTGTTCCCTTATCAGTGACCTTTAATACAACCTACTGCTATTCACTCTTGAAAAATAAATAAATAAATTCCCTCAGAAGTTTTTGAAGGTCTCAAAGAAAGGGTCGTCATTGATTTTCAATTTCCTGTCAGAAACTTCTCAAAGAAAGAATCGTCATCGATTTTCAATTTCCTGTCAGAAGCTTCTCAAAGAATCGTCATTGATTTTCAGCTGGCCAACAGATGGAAGACTCGCGCGATCCGCGGTCACTCCTGCCACCGTGGCCAACCTTCTGACCTAATCGCCTCTAATTTCATTAACCGTTCTATTAGGTAACGAGCGGATCCTCCTGAGGCCGATCGACTACGCCGCGAAACGTCCAGCCAGCGTTCATTGTCGAGACGCAGAGGGCGAGCGGGGTGTCGCGCTCCAAATACTTGTCCGACTCTGCCCACCTGGCGTGATTATGGCTCGCGGCGTCCCACGTAGATCCAACCGTGGACCACTATCGGCGGACTTCGATTTTCCATCGTGGGAATCCATGCTTCTACCACCTGTTCCCTCGACGATCTCGCTGTGCCTTTCTTCCCTTTCCCTCCGGCCGATTTCTGCAAAAGAAACGACGAACGTTAGTCTTGCCGTTTCGTTCGGCACCCTTTTCAACGTGTTAACAGTTTAACACGTTCGCTAGCAGCGTCACATATTTGTCACGGTCGTAATCCTGTGTTTTACGCAATGAAAATGAAGTTAATCCTATAGATATTGTTATTATGAATTATAAACTACATTATATTTAGGAACTTAATGTCTCGTTTCAGTTTCATTTTTTTAATATTTTCTTTAGAAGATTTACTGGAAGAAAATATAATTAAGAAAATAAGCGCTGGTAGCGAACGTGCTGAACGTTGCTCTTGGACAATATTAAATTTCTAGTTTTCTAACTTTGCTTTGATGTTCTGTTCTTTTGATTAATTTTGATCATTGTTTTATGGAGAGAGTTGATTATTTTTATTGTTCTAATTTATTCTGATTTTAGTATTATTCTGTTATTATTGAAGATTAAGTTATAGTTTAATATTGGTCAATAGTTTGGACAGAAATAGAACACAGCTGAATCGAGACAGATTAAAATATTAAATAAAACAGCATTATAAAAATGAAAACGTGATTAAATGGAAAAAAGACCTGAAGGACGTTAATATATGGAGAACAGGCCTCCAATACTAATCTCCAAGCTACTATAAATTCAACTGCGTCAAAATATACAGATAAATCAGTAGCAACACCCGTTCCAAACGCACAAACGTTCACAGTCCACTGATCTACAATAAACAATAAAAAACACCTCTCCCCGGAGATAAATTGAGCAACAATGAAACAAAACCGAACACGTCCAGCTTGAAGTAAGTACTTACATTTAATTCTGTTTTCGCACGATTTTAATTGAATACAATCATCCAAATTCCAAGAAACAATTCTTTAATTCAAGTCATATTGAATTATTTTGCTGATTTCTTAAGTCTGATACTAATCTTCATTTTTTTCTATAGCTACAGTATATTTTTTACATAAAGTAAATAATAAAGAAACCTTTTCCTAAAATATTGTACAACATCAATTAACAAAATCCATTGAATCATTAGCAATCATCCCCTCCAAGTAAATTAAACTGTTTTAATTACTATTTTTATAAATCTACTAATTATTCTGTTCAATCACTACAATTAATACTGTTCAATTAAAATACTAAATTCTATTTCTTCCAACAATAAACCTATTCCTTAGCATTACCACCCTAAAGTATTATCCTAATCATACAGCAATAATCTGTTTGTATTACTTCCATCTAAAGAATCTCACTTTTGTAATTATCTTTTAATAATTTAACGCGTTATTGGAAGATCTACCGAACACTAGAACACTGGCCACAGAGCTCGCGTTGACGTGAAGAACAAACCCGGACAGGTACAAGTGTTACAGTCAAGATTAACGGTATAAACACCTGCACAGCGTGATTTCTAGAACGCAGCTATCCGAACGTTGAACAGCTGGTGATCGCGTGAACGGTTCGCGTCACAGAAGGAAAAAACTAGCCAGCGGTCGGGTACTTACATAGCGTTCGATTCGCTCAGAACAATGGTACACGCTTGTTTATCTAAACAGATAAGCGACGGCGAGCGGCGTTTTTGAACGCCGCTATCGTTTGGCGACGCGCGGCGCGAACATAAGGCAACGCGAATGACATGCGCAGCGAACGACAGCCGGCACGAGACTGCCGGGGGACGACGGCGCGTCGTCTTCGACTTGGATGGGCAAAATGGATGGATAGACCGACGGCGTGGCGGAGAGGCGTAATCCGCGAGGAACGGGCGCAACGGTTGCGCGACGTGTAATCTGAAAATGTAATTTACAGTCACGTTTCGACCTTCGTTCGGACTTACACGGTGAACGATATTAGCGATCGCGTAGTAAACATTTCCTTTTTGTATCAGCTATATTCTAGACTTTATTCCATTGTATCGGTGCATCTTGAAAATATCGAGAAGGTACTTTTTTTGGAATTAATATACTGATTTATGAATTCCTACGTTGGGAAGATGCTTGAAAATATTGAAGTAGTTTTGGTAGTTGAAATGGACTGTAGTTTGTCGAGTTACTTTTTCAGTTGTGACTCACAGTATAGTAATTAACGTAGATAATGCACAGTGAAGAGTATTGGTATTCGCATAGTAAACATTTCCTTTTTTTTATAAACGTGGCAATGCTTCTAGGATAGTTAATTGGTAGATAATTATTAGATGTTGAGATTAATGTTATGAAGGTACTTTATTATCTGATAATTAACACTAGAACTACCGAGCATTTAATACGATTAATATGCAATTTCCATAGAAATTGTAACAATAGATTATTTTCAATTTCTTCGGAAATTCATTATGGTACTCAAATGAAGCTATTTATTTTCAAGATCATTTCGAATATTCAATGCTTCGAAGATATCAATAATTGCTAAACAAAAAAATCGAAACCAGTCATTTTGTCTGGTACGGCAGTTCTAGTGTTAATGTACCATAGATTTTGTAGATTTGGGAAGATTGAGATATTTTTATTAGTTGAGCTGAAGTCTGGTTCGTTGATTTAACTCTCAAACTCATAAATGCTGAAGCGTTGTAAATAAAGTTGACTGAAGTATTAGCATTGAACTATAATAGTTATATAATAGATCTTGACTTCTTATACTATTAATCTAACATTATTAATCAGTTATTCTTAGCTTGCGATTCGAAATACAATAATTCAAATAAACATTCCCACGTTCTTGCTATACGAATACATTTATCTATCACTGTATACACACTCTAATCAAAAAGAGAGGGTCTCTAACCCCTGATCCGAAACACGACTGATTAACAAAGCCCGATGAGATTCTTATCCATTGAGTGCCCGGTGTGTATCGTCACTGTTACATTATCAGATTATTTTCGACCTCGTTTCACCAGTTCAAGGGACTGCAATCCACCGAACTATATCGGTCAACATATGGTATTCAACATCAGGCTAGATAAGATACACGACCGGTAGCGCATCGACCGAATTATCCGGTGAAATTGGACCACGCGTTAACATGTTAGAAATACCCGCTCTAATAATAATGCTACTAATCTCCATACTTCAACAATGAACCCGTAACTCCAGATGCTAACGTTCCCAACAACAAAACCACTTCTAACAGTGCACCCAGGTGTTAACCAATTAATTGTCACGAAAAACTTCAGCGCCTCGCGTCATCGTTTACCTAATTGTAGCAAAAACAAAGAGAAACGATGATTAATCATTTGGTATCACGATTATTGCATTACGTTGTTATCTATTACTTACTCTATTCCCTGTTTTCGTTCGACATCAGTTGTCCTACAACTTATAATTGTATTCAAGTCATTTGGAAGCTCCGGTCATCGGTGACCGTGGCAGCCGACGTGTTAACAGTGCAGTAAACTATACCAGCCTCGAGGCTAGACATGTTATTCATATCGCTTTGGAAGAACAGTACAGTTCTCTCGAGCTGCAAGCACCCATGTACTGCTAGATCACTTGCTGTCTAGCCTGCGGAATGTGGATCTAATCGGGCAGTTCTCATTTTTCTTCTAATGCTAATTCGTTGTTCTACGGTACGGTCACTTGTAACTCTTCAAAGGTACAAACAAAATTGAAGTATATAAAAGACTACAAACAACAAAGGACGCTCTTACTCCTGTGTCGTCCTAGATAAGTCATCTTCTCTATAGCATTATTCACAGCTGAACAACTCAAGATCCCTGGCAGACACCTATGATCCTCATTCAAGTCTCTCAGCTCCCATAATCTGGCCCAGACCTTTCCAGCCGCTATTTTCTCTAATACCTAGGCAACAGCCACTGGCAAGTGCACCGTGTTCAATTCGCTGGTCGGTTTTCCTGGCAAACTAGAGCGACGCGTGCTAAAGATAGGTCGCGGGGATCGGTGTGTGCACGTAGTACCGGCGCGGTGCACAAGGGCGACCTTGGCCTTACAAGTTTATATAACGAGGAAGCGAGCGAATCGCCAGCTCAGTCGCACCGTTTTGTTTCGATCCACCGATGCGAGACTCGCGACATGCGAGAGGAGCTCGTCGAGACCGGCGCTTCCTGGTGTCCCCATCGGATGACTCTCGCATTCTTGCTCGCCGCCTGACGTCCGTGGTACCGGTGCAGGGCACACGTCCGTTCGATCATCTCTCGCCGGCTATTGGCGCTGACATTTTACTGCCTCGACGTGGAGAGGTGGCTACGGACTGTCCTACGAACACCGCCGACACTGTAACATAGGATTAAGATCGATCTTGAAGTGACACTTTGGCGTTGAAAGCGATAGCCGCGTCTCGCCGAGGGGATCCTGCTGACGAGAACCGTTCCGTTTCGGTGCGACCATGGTGAGTGATCGCGGCGTTTCCGGTGCGAGGTATGACACGCTTTCAAATTGATGCTGTTGCCTGCTGCTGGTTCTAACGAGTTCGATGCTATGCACACATTGTTACGTGGATAATAAAATATACTGTACGGAAAACTTTATGTTGATTGATTCCTTTTTCCTGGGAATTTATGGCTGTGGCCGTTGAGCTGAGCTTCAGTGAATTTGATATGTTGATGAAGTATGTGTCACTGAAGGATTGGAGATTGTTAAAGGCAATTTGGGGAATATTCTTAGCTTTGCAGAACTCCTTGGTTCTTTGTGGTTTTTAACCCTTTGCGCTGCAAGTGATTTCTCAGTGAATAATTCATATGTATAAGGAAAGCTTGAGTGCAAAGGGTCAAACTGCCCATTTTTGGTACAACTAAACATCTACACTGAGCTACAATCAACAAACAATTTGCAGAATACTGACTGCACTTGATCAAGCACAGGTTTTTCAAATAAAACAACTAAAAATTCCCAACATTGTCCATTCAACGGTTCCTTTTTTGTACTACTTAAGACCTTAACACGTTCGCTTCCGACATGACATATCTATTACGTTTACAATCCTACGCTTCGCACGAATAAAAGAAAATGAATGCCACAGACATTATTATTCAAAGTGACAAGATACGAAGCTATATTTAGAAACTCAATAGCTCTGTACATTCATTTAAAAGACTGCTTAGATTTAATATAATATTGCACCCGAGAAAATTGTTACCAAAAATCAAATGACGCTAGCGAACGTGTTAATATTCTCGAGAGTAGCTCAGGTAAACAATGTGTCGCACGCATGCCTCCAGGTAACAAGGCCAGCCTAGAAGCAGACAGGAGAAAAAGAAACGATGCATCTGATTCTACTTTGGGCGTTGGTCGGCCTAATTGGCCAAGTGTACTGCAAATGCAGCATAGTACCGATAACAGATGACGAACGGTCGATCGCCTACGCGTGCACGCACGGCGACCTAAACGACCTCGACGAGATCTCCAGCGAAGCGGAATGGATAGAGTTCACCGTGTCGCGGTTCCAATCCATTCCCGACAACGCTTTCTGGCGGTTTAAGAATCTTAGGAGACTGTCCTTTTACAATTGCCACGTGAACTTCATCGCACCCGACGCGTTCGCCGGGTTGAACCGTTTGGAGTGGCTGATACTTCATGGGACCAAAATCCATGCGGCTAGGGCGACGTGGTTCCGTCACCTGCCCAACTTGAGGAAACTGATTCTGAACAGGTACACGTGCTGAATTATTGAGCCAATTAACCCTGAAAAGACACGGTTGTTTTAGTTACTATTTCAATGACTGTTTAACTGTTTAATTATTTATATAACTATTTATATTACTGTCTGACTGTTTCATTATTTATATAGCTACTTAAATTACTGTTTGAGTATTTAATTATTTGTATAGCTACTTAAATTACTGTCTAACTATTTACATACCTATCTAAATAGTTCATTTATATTCAAACGGTTAACTGTTATTTAAATTTGAGAAAGCTATCTGTTAAATTGTTACATTTCAACTAGATTTCCATTTAATTCAATGGAGAAATTCATTTCTGCAGTTAACACTAGAACTACAGAACAGTTTGAAACAATCTATTTCTAAATTCGTGATTCACAAGTATTGAAAAGATAACAGATGCTTCTCTGAACTGATTAAATTGTATAATTACAGAATCATAGAAATGAGAGAAATTATACAAGTACAGAAATTACAGAATAAGCTCAAAAAGTTTGTTCGACTGCTCGGTAGCTCTAGTATTAATTCTAGAATCGGTTCTAACGTTGCCAACAGATATCGATCATATGAAAACGCGAATTCAATGATAAATGCAACAATTATTGAAAAAACAACGTGGCGAATCGGTTACAATTACAAAGACTTCTTGGAACAATCTCGTGGGCCGGAATATACGTCGCGAACGCGGAAGCCGCGCCGCGTCTCCTTCTTTGCAGAACACCGGCGGCGTTGTTGATTCCATAGAAAGTCATCGATTACGTAAAACTGAATAATCGAATCGTTCGGAGGAGTACTACTCGCCTATTAGATCATTATTCGATAATCTGTTTTACACGCGTCGTCCGACAACGTGTAAATACAAGCATTTAACAAATAATGTTTATAAAATACAATATGAGTCAAATCGGATCGTTCGCAAAGAGTTAAGCCTTCGCACTCGAAAGTGTTTCACTTGAAATATTCTATACTTTCTAATTACAGGCGAAATCCTTTAAAATGAATTTATCAAGGAATCACACATAAATTAGGGAACGCTATGTTCTTTCAATATTTCAGGTATTGATGCAGTGTACAAAGGTTAACGGTAACTACCAAAGTTTACAATTTTCCTGTGTCAGATCATCTGACGACTGGGAGTCGTCTCTCGAGTGCAAAGGGTTAATACTAATTGAACGTGTTGCACGTTTCATCGAATAAGCCAGATTGGATGATTTTTAAGGCGTAGTCCCTTCAACGAGAAGGATATACGAGTGGAATGAGAAATCTATATGGGCAGGGCTGATTTATCTAATAGGCACCTCAAATAGAACAGGTCTAACCAAGGAATAGACGGGTGATCAATAGAATTGAATGCAGAAATGTCTACAACCAACAATCTCTATCACCCAGCTCTGTAAATGTTTAGAAGTCTGTTTTGATTTATTGTACCAGCTCCACCTTGACCCTAGATAACTAAACATTCGTCTAAATATTCTACCGACCTTCGCCATGTTTGCGAATTTGAATTTAGGAGCACACTCTACAGCCAACACTGTAAACATCCGTTCTAAAGGCTTGTCTATTATTCAATCAAAAACTATACTTAAATTGTACTTCCTTTGAAATAAATAGAAGAAACATGGATAAGTCTTTAACCCCTTGCACTATGATTTCGTTCACAACTGCGCTATTTGTCATTAATTATAATTAATTAAAAAAAGAAAATCCATGTCTGCCAAATTCTATGAATCTTTGCCACGAGTTTGACAGGATATTGTAGTGCAAGAGTTAATTTGTAGTCTATGAGCCTAGTGTTTAGTTACACTGATCTCAGTTTAGTTATTTCAAGTTAAAATCATCTATGCTGTGACAAATGCTGTATTGTACACATTGAATTTGCGTTATTGCAGATGTGGGTTGCTACACATTGAACCGGATGTCTTCCGGATGCTGCCGCGACTGGAAACTTTGGGCCTGCGCGATAATGACCTGGACTGTCTGATGACAGAGGATCTTTCCTACCTACGATCACTGAAGACCGTACGTATCGATGGGAACCCATGGCTCTGCGAGTGTCGACAGATGCTGGATAAGTACTTCAAGGACAGATCCATCAGCCAGGAAGCAGAATGCTCTGCAGAGGTTCACTTATGCAGGACATATCAGTGTATGACTCAGATAGGCTTCCCTGCGCTCCCAGCATCCTTCACCACCCAACACCTGATCAATTATAATAGGGTAAGTATTTTGTCTCTTTTCCTAGAATCATTTGCTTCTAACCACATTAGTTCGAATTATATTTCTCAGAAGCGACTGCAATCTCAAGCTAAAAGCTCCAAGATCCTCTATTTGTCATTCTGCATTTATCATTCTTTCAAGCATTGCTTTCAATTAATTCTTTGTAACGAATATAAAGAGGAACAGTTACTTATAATTTGGTATCGCAATGCTTATGTTATGCTGTTATGTAGTAATTTACGCTATGAAATATTTCCATTCGACATTAGTTATCTAATATAATTATTGTCATGTCATTTGGAAGCTCTGGTCATCGGTGACCGACGTGGCAGTGAATTTGTTAAATATTATACAAATTAAATACAGGTAGCTCAAGAAGTGATTGATTAAATTCCAACCCAAGTGGATGAATTAAAATTGACAAAAAAAAGTTCCCATAAATCTGCTATCCGTTGATCAACATTATAATAATTATAAACCGGTCATTTCTACAATTCTACTCTGCTAACGTATTCAGCCCCTGCTAATGGCAACCATCATTACAGACATGGACGTCGATGCGAAGAAACGAATTTCAAACGAACGTTTTCACGTCGTTGGACCGACTTCCAGATAAAACAAGCTGGATCGAGATCTCCGGCCTGACAATAGAGAAGCTGCTGCGTTACAGTTTCTTTCGGTTCGGGAATAGCTTAAGAAGTCTAGATCTGAACGACTGTGGGATCCGTGAGATAGAGAGCGGAGCTTTCGCAGGTTTGCACAGGTTGCAAAGGCTGTCTTTAGTTGGCAACCAGTTCCATCTAGTCGGTGCGGACTGGTTCCGTGATCTTGTCGGTCTGCAACAGTTGATCCTGCAAAGGAACGAGATTGAAAAAATAGAACCAACTGCACTATGGCATACGGGTAACAGCTTAAGGTACCTCGATCTCCGGAGCAACAGATTACAGTGCATCCCCATTGAAGAGCTCGGTGAATTGAAGAGACTGGAACGCTTGGATGCGACCGGTAATCCCTGGCTGTGCAGCTGCCGCAGGAATCTTCAAAGTTTCCTCACGCAAAGGAACGTTGGATTCGAGATCGACGCGGGAAGGTGCTATGAGAATCAAAACGAGGTTCCTCAGAGACCCGGTGGATGGCACCAGCAGGTAACAACTTACCTACTGAGTCCAGAGAAACTAATATCTTTGAAATAAAATCAAATCTATAAGCTAAAGTTTTGTAAATAGCTGTAATGGTAAAACGCTTTTTCAAAGAATTGTATGTCTTTTGGAATTGTCAAGAATTTTTCTTGACACATTGTTACCATTTAAAATTTGAGTTCAATCAGATTAGCCCTAAAGAGTAATACAATGAATAAAAAGCAGGTAACAGCAACTTACCTACTGAGCAAAAAGAAATTAACATAAAATTTAAAATGAAATCAAATCTAGACTAAAATTCTGTAAATTTAAAAATTCTCCTCGCAAACATTGTTTCCATCTAGCTACACTCAAAACTTCAGTTCAATCTGATTACTCCCAAAGACACACATTAACTAAAGCAACCAACTTGTTCTCCACAGACAAACGAAACCTCCACAACAGGAAGAGTCCACTGGACCTCCTTCGAGGATAGCGTGAAACAATCAAACCTAACAATCATCAGACCTCGACCGCCAGTGCTATCAACAGAAGTCCACGTCTCCACTCCTGCACCAACAGTATACACAGGCCAATGCTACCCCGAGAAGAGCAACGACCGATTCAGGACTACCTACACCTGCCGCGCCATTACCTCCATAGAAGACGTGTACGCAATCCCAGCGACAGTCCACACAATCCGCGTGATACTGTCAAACATCAAAAAAGTCCCCACCGACACGTTCGCCCGGTTCAACGGCTACTTGTCCGAGCTAGAGCTCCGCGACTGCGGAATCGAGAAAATCGAGCCTGGCGCGTTCGTGAAGCTCTACAACCTGGAGTACCTATCATTGAGGAGCAACCAGCTGGACGCCGTCAGCGGGGACACTCTTCAGGGCCTGACGAACCTCAGACGCCTGGACCTGTCCCACAACAACATCTACCGAATAACGAACGACGCGTTCGACAATGTGCCTTACTTGACCAGCCTCGACGTCTCTGAAAACTCCATGAACTGCATCGGCGTGGAGTACATGGGGGAGCGCTTAAGGTACCTGTCCACCCTGAACGTCGCCAACAACCCGTGGAGCTGCCTGTGCGGGACCAAGCTGGCCGAGTTCCTAAACGGTCGTGGTATTCGTTACAACAAGCATTCCTTGCTGCTGAGGGAGGACTGCTACGCGACTGACGTTCCCGCCATAACCAGCGCCCCATCGACAACGACTCCAACGGCTCCAACCTGGAACGACACTGCTGAAGGGACTTGCGTTACCGACGGAGACAATACAGGACGTTACTGGTGCACTGGTGGTAACTTGGCGCTGTTGCAGACGTTGCCCCCAGATGTCACTGCCATCGAGTTCCATCAAGGTCACCTGCCCCGTTTACCTGCAGGCTATCTGTCGAGGTTCACTGATCTCCGGGAAATTATAATAACTAATTCGGGACTGACTACGATCGAACAAGGTGCATTCGATGGTTTGAATAAATTAGAGAACTTGACGATTCAGGATAACCAGTTGGAAATGATAGGATCGTCCTGGTTCACGCTGGAGAATCTCCGGAAGCTGGACCTGCGCGGTAACTCGATCAAGTACGTTGCTCCCGGCGCGTTCCGGCGGTTGAACCGGCTGGAATATTTGAATTTGGAGGGAAACGATTTGAGGTGCATATACACGAGTGATTTGAATGACATGCCCGAGGTGTACATAGTGGAGTTCGCTGGGAATCCGTTGAAATGGAGGTGCAGGGTCGAGTTGGAGCAGTTCTTGGATGCTAGGAAAATTCGGTTCGTGAGAATCGAGAATTCCTGTGAAGGGAAGAAGTTGGTGAGGAATCTGCTGCTGCAGAATAAGACGGACGGTTCGTTCAGCTGTCCTTCTGATTGTTCTGCGGGTAGTCAGTTGATGCTCCATCGTTTCCTTGCTCTGGTTTTCGCTTTACCGATGCTGATGCGGCTCTACTGATCGCGTGGTCGTCGATGACCGTTACTTAACCACAAGTACAATAATGTATGTGTTCATTAATATTTTTTTATATTTATTATTCACTTATGTAAACCTGCGTGACGTTTAAGTGGCACAGAGCTTGAGTAACGCGCAAAATCTAGTTGCCCAGTGGACAGGGACCAGCGAGGAGCTAGGACTTGCATTAAGAAGCAGCTGTAAAATTGCTTATCTCTGTGCATGCCATACTGTATGTTCAATAAACTAATTTATTTCCTTAGGAATAATTTAGAACGTTAAATCGGCTAGATCGTAGTTGAGACGCGGCGAGAAGCTATTTAAATGATGATTTTCATGCTCGATTCTGTAATCGATCGGCATCGACTTCGGAGTGCGTTTGAATAGTTATGGTTAGTAAGAGTTACGCAAATAAATGAGATTCCATAAGCAACAATCGGCTTCTGATTCTTTCTGATTTATCAGAGGATGGAGTACTTGATAACGTTTGTAATTTAATTAATAAAACATTGCATCAAACGGAAATTCTCAGTCAATTTTTAAAAAGCGTCAACAAAAGCCCGACTAGCTCAGTCGGCAGAGCATGAGACTCTTAATCTCAGGGTCGTGGGTTCGAGCCCCACGTTGGGCGAATTTATTTTTTGCCGAGTTTTCTCGTGGATAAACATTTCAAAATTTTAATAGAACTATTCCGTATAAACTTAATGCAAAAAACAAATTACCGCATTTATAATTAATTTAAAATATAATAATTTTAATATAATTTCACCTCTCTATTATTTATATCTATTAATATTAAAATTATTTAAATGGTAGTTTTTGTTAAAATAATTATTGATGCGAAAAATGATATAGAAGATTAAAATGAAATGTAAAAAAGTTAATTGAGAAACATGTTCTCAACTTAGCAGAGCGTGGTTTCGATCCACGGACCTCTGGGTTATGGGCCCAGCACGCTTCCACTGCGCCACTCTGCTGGTTGTATGATACTGTACTAATAAATGTCATTACTGATCATAATGTATTTAATTTAAAAATATTCGTTTCTTTCACAATCCGTTGGATTCCTGAAAAGTAAGTAGAACAGCGTTGTAGGAAAAATCTGTCGAATAAACAAACTAAGGCGCCATTGCGTATATACTGGTTAACTCAGCGTTTTGCAATCACTTCCAATTTCCATTCGCCGTAACAAAGTCGAAACTGCAATGCAGCAAAAATGAGACTACTTATGAAAAGTATGGAAACCATCAATAAAATTTATTTAAAACCCGAATACCCTCTCATATATGTTTTGAAATTTAATCAACAATCCATAGATTAATTCTTGTTTTATATGAAGTACAATTCGAATAGCTTTTTATTTATTATTAATTAAAATTACTTACTAAAATACTACCTATCCAATTTAAAATTGCATTAATTTGTATATCTAAACAAGCATTATATGAAAATTAATTTATTTAAATCGAAACTAAAAATTAAATAAATTATGCACATTTCAAAACAAGGATGGGTAATTTTTATAAAATTACATGGTAAATTTATTGAGTGGTTGTAATCATTTTTAATAATCTTACATTCTTTTATACATAATAGTAAAGCCAAACATTCAGTCATGTTACTTGCATCTGGAGTATGATTATACTTATACATAAATAGTTCTACATTTAAAAATCAGCTGCAATTATGCATACAATAAGAATGTCGCAAAAACAACGTAGCAGTTAAAAAACGCACGATCAGCACCATCAGCGATACCAGGTATCGCGAAGTTCACGCATCGAATTGCGAAACTACCTGAGGTCCTCGATGAGTTCACATCCTGATTAATCCCTATAAAAAGCGAAAATTATTCAATCGTTCATCAGTTCAGTTTTGAGGATCACAGAATCGCCACAGCCAACAATGCGTCTCAATGTGTGTGTCTTAGTGTTGTTGCTGGCAGTTGCTTTAGTTTGGGCTGGCCCAACACCCAAAGCTGCACAAAAGAAGTCATTGGAAGATCCCAAACTCGAGTCTAAGAAGCAAGAACTGAACATTGAAGAAACAGGCGAGGAGAAGGATAGGACCAAGAAGTCTGCAAATTTCTGCGTTGAAATCAAGCAAGGTTCTTCTCAAGTAACGCAGGTTCCTTGCAAGACTGTTCAAACTCCAGCTCAAACTGTAGCTCAAACTGCTGCTCAAACTGCTGCTCAAACTGCTGCTCAAAACACTCTTCTGACCATCCAAAGTGAACCTGCTGCTCAGACGATCCAAACTTTGAACGTCGCTCAACCATCATTTGTTCAGTCAGTGCCTCAGTCGAACATAGTCCTTCCTCGACAGATACTGCAGCCTTACCAAACCTTTCAAATAGTTCAATCTGCTCTTCAGCCATGTTCTCAACCGAGTCCATCCGTAAACATTGTTCAGCCAATTTCCCAGTCACAGGTTATCCAGGAGACATCAAAACCAAAACCAAAACCAAAACCAAAACCCACTCCAAACACCATTCAGACCACTATGGAGCAACCTAAACCTGCACGTATTGAACAATTCTCTGAGTCACTTCCAATACCGCAAGAGACCTTAACCGTGTTGCCAGTTAGTTCTTCTTATCAAGAACCTGTAATCACTGTACCGTCCAGTCCTATGATTATATATCCTAAGCCAGAACCATCACAATTAGCCAGTATTATTGAAATTCCATCGGTATCTCCTTGCAACAACCCCCTGCATGGAGTTTTGACTCCGTGTACATGTCAGAATAACATGGCTATATTGAGTGAGTCTAGTATGGAGCCCATGGCCATTAAAGTAGTGTCTGCTCTTCCTTACTCATCACCGTGTGCAAGATCTTCGTCTTCAATGGTAATGCCATACAATGCTCACATGGTGCCTCACATCTTAGCACATGTAAGTAAAAAATAATTACCCCTTCTTTGTCTATTTTTGATATGTGTCCTTCATATGTAATTATTTATAGGATCACATGGACAAGGCCCGACATCATGTAAAATATCATGCCCATATCAAATCTGATCTTCCATATTCATCGTTCCTGCCCCAAAATAATTTCCAAAATGTCTATGAAAAAACAGTCCCCCTTGCAGTAGAAACCGTACCGGTCAATCAATATGCCGCTAAAAATATAATACTGGATCATCCGCACGAAACTCCAGGAATCACCATTAACGCTTACCCCCACGTCTTAAGAGCGGCTAATCCAATGATGGGATCTCGATTCCTTACAAACAAAGAGACTGTTGAGAACAGTCCACTGATGTCCGGAACGAATGATTTTATGCAGTCCAATAAGGCACCAAGAGAAATCAGCGCAAATGAATTTTTACCTGTGAAGATGGAAGAAACTAAACAAGAGAATGAACGAGGCGATACAAAAAGTTATAAGGCAACAGCTAATTAATGAAATGTAGTATGAATTAGTTTTTGTATTTTTGTACTTGTCACAATCAAGTTTGTCAAAAGATACCTTGTACTATTAAAAAAGGAATAAATTGTGTCCCATTATCAATAAGATAACAATTTTTAAAAAACATTTACATCCTTATTTTTACCTTACTCATATGCTCATACATTTTGATGAAATACTCGTAGAACTTTCTGATCTTTTGTTCACTTCTGTTAACAAAGGGTTGTCTTTAGGTATGATTAGTATGTTTTGGGAAGAACTCTCCTCCAAATACTTCTGTAAACTTGATATACTGAATTGAGCCCACGAGCAATTACACGAATCCTTTGGCGAGTTCTCGTCGCTCTTATCTTGACCTTTAATTTGAGAACGAAATGTTAATTCGATTAAAATGTTATTCATCATTTTTATTTCAATATTATAATGTAAATTTTAGAGATTCTGACCAGCAATAACTTTTAAATCTTCCTCCAAGATGTCTTCGTCAATATTAATCCAACGTATGATACTTTTACCAATGTCAGAACTCACATTTTTCAATATATGTGTGATCTTTTCCATTACGTCCAACGGAGGCTTAATTCTTTTTAGAATTTCGTGGTCTACAGACCAATCACTACTTTCGCCTCCCTTACACTTGCAACAAGTGCAAGTTTCTGGGTGGTTAAAATTTCTACATTGTTCATCATAATGTGGTGCTGAAAAATGTATTACCGTATAAAGCAAAATGGAAGAAATGAATGAGTAGAATTGAGAAGTAAATTGAATTACCTTCACATCTGAAGGAATAACAACATCTACAATCTTGTTGGTGGTCCCTATCCAGTATATTTGAAATAATAGTAATAGCTGACTAAAAAAAGAAAACATTTTTTAGTAGACTTATCCTCATTGAAAATTATAATAATAACATACATGTTGCACATTAATTTCTTTTGTTCTATTATATGTATATTTATAATATTCTGCTTTTGGACGAGACTTTTTAATTGGAGGATCTGATGCTTGCGAAAAAAGACCATAAGAAACATCATGGTATCCTTTCTTAGGATAATTATCTTCATATCTTGCAATGCACCATCTATGATCTACTTTGTACAGTCTAATATCTATATTCTCTTGATTCAAAACTTTAGAGATCAGCATTCGTTTGATAATCTACAGGAACATGGATGCATTGTGCATTATTTTAATTTTTCTTTTGTATAAATGTAAAATTCATGTAAATACCTTAGCAGTTAAATGATCAATAGAGTTACCAAATATTTTCAACTGTCGTAGCAAAGGATTCTTTTTCAAAGTATATAAAAATTCTACCATGCCATTGTCCGTAATCTTATTGTACGAAATATCAAGTGATAGCAGCTTTGAGAATGGAAGAGCGAAACTAAGTATTCTAAATAAATCATTATGTGTTCATTTATCTTTTGTGGTACAATTTATATTTTGCTTCAAAAATAGTACCTTGCACCATGATCAGTTATAATGTTTTTACATAATATAAGGTTCTTCAATTTTGGTCTTTTCGCAAGCCATTTGGCAAGATGATCCACGCCGTGATCACCTATGTTGTTACAGCCAAGATCCAACAACAGCAGAGTATTGTTGAAGATTGCATTGGACATCATGGTTTCAATATCATGGCAACTAAAGTTGTACTTTTGCAAATGCAACGTTGTCAGAGTACTGTTATGCTAAGTAAAGAAAGCTTGAATTTAACAATGTAGATAAAAAAAATGCGTGCACACAGTATTACTTTGAGCATGTGACCAATGACACTGGCAAAATGAACAGAATCAAAATAATACATGCATCCTGGGTTCGGTCGACTGATATCTAAACATTTCAGAGTTTCATTGTAGTCTTTCTGATCTTGACTCAAGACCATTATAAAATATATTAAACTGGAGGCAGTTTGGTCTACATCTGCGACATTCAAATGGAGTAGATGTTCATTTTGTAGTAACAATTTTGCCACATTCATTGATGCCTGCAAAAATGTCATTAAAGCTTAGTTAATAATTCCATTTAACAGAACATAGAATTAATTTACCTTGACACTTAATTTATTCATTCTTAAACTTAGGCTCTTAATTTGTATTCCTTCTCCTACTTCCAGCAAATAGTTTATTCCTGATTCTTTGATGTTATTATTCCCAATATCTAGATCATCTACGTGTTTGTGTACCTGACGCAACAAATTTAAAAAGTGAATCGTATCAAAATAAATTTTCTCCTATAAATTTTGTTTCTATTACTAGTAGATGATCGATTAAATTTTTGAAGCCATTGTCTGAAATATTGTTGCCAGCTAAGTTAATGCAACGAATATCCTGATGCTTCTGAAGGAAAATTATCAACACTGGAATGTCCATGTCTTCAAGTACTCTCCTGTAATTATCCTCAAGATAATATCAAATTTAAAAATCAAAAATCGCATCTACTAACTTGATTTTCTCAAATACAATAGAACCACGCATGTCCAGCTTTATCTTCGCAGTACGAATTCCTGTACAGCAGCTATTAAAAACCTGACTGGTCAATTGAACAAAGAAAGGCGGCTTCAGCTTTTCAACAGTTTTAATTAAATCTCCGTGATCGCACGAATGACTGCACAAGCCCCCTTTATTCAAGCACCCGGGCTTATCAAACGTCATGATGAAATTTTTTAAATCTCTTTTCAAATGTTCACATAAATTTTTCAATTATTAATGTATATCATTCAAAATGGCAATTCCTGATATCTACCTAAAGAAACAAGAACTTGATGTTATTCCATTGCAAGATATCTTTAAGGGTAAACGATTAAAATGATATTAGTGAAATAATGAACACTATTACAACAAACCGTTGATCATATTTGATCACATTTGCAATGTGTAATTGACAGCATACTGTGAAATGGATCCTATTTCCTCTGAATATAACTTACAACTCTTGCCATTAACTCAAAGCGACAAATGGCTAATATCTGCGCGTATACTTGATATGGTCACGCTTACCACGACTAACACTGGACTTGCTTTCTTCAAATTTCGCAAACGAGCTCTGTCGTACGAAGAATATTTATTGTACCTTGAAGACTTGGCAAAAATCGGGAACCTTGATTTCGAGGAGCTGAAGAAGAAGCTTCAAGCATCAGGGATGCCTAGGAAGGCTGCTTAACACGTAACTCGGCAATCGCTGTTCACAAATTTTATTAATGAATAACATTCACACAGTGTTTGGATGTTTCTTCGGTTCGCTGTAATATTTACATTCATCCGCGTAGTAAATTCCAAAGAAATGACCATTTTAATAAAATAACTGAAATTGATATCTGAAAATCACCGAGTGACCAATACATTCTGTATCGCACAGTGATATTTTAATTATAATAATTTATAGTGACACAGAATGAACTATCTTTATCGGATACGAAAGATTGCTTTCTGTGTAAATAGAATAATAATTTACCTGGAGACCATTATACATAAATAAAATGAATAAAATAAAATTGTCAAAATAAATACGCTTACACTGCTTTCAATATTGTTGGATTACAAGGCAAATGAATCACAAAAGAAGTCGTCCTATGATTAGTTCCACAGCTACGGTGATTTGTTAATTAGAACCATAGATAAAATATGTTTGAAGGTGTGACTTGTCTGGATTTTCTTTTCGCAGTATCAAAAATAAATTAATAAGAAACCAACTTGGGAACATCAACGAAAATACGGTTGAACTCGATATATAAAAATAATATAACAATTTCTGCTTCATGTCGAAAAATAATCACGAAACAGCTTCGTTTTTTTTTCTTCGACATTTAGAAGAGACAATACTTTCATCACATCGTTCGATCTTGTCCCTTTATTGGGGGGACATAAAACATTTACTAAAAAATTATACATTATTCTTCTGTATCCACTTTAAGGCATTTCTAACATTGCCAAGCGTGACTCTACTGAGGAAACTCGCTATTAATTGATATTCCGGCATGGTACGTCTTCCGCAAGACCTAGTTGATAAGGATCTTTGATAAGAATGGTTTCTGACGATGTTTTCCACTCCTTCCTCGTAGAGAATATCTAATACAGGTAGTGCAGAGTTACGTCCCTCGCAAAGTACTTTCGTTGTTAAGCACAGAAGCCACTGCATCACCTACACGAGACAATGATAGATTAGAAATATTAAAATGCGAATTCCAGTCAAATCTATTTACAGACCTCGTTACTAGATGGTAACTTCGCTTCGCTTCTAAGCCAAGTACTCGGTGCCCATAAGTGCAGTTGCATTACAGTTGCTGCTGTTTCTGTATCTAACCTCTGAAATCAAGAACGTAATGACGTAGAATTCAGCATATTTGAAATAACAAATTAAATGAATAAAATTATACCTTGTACAAACTTCTAGACAGTATATTTTTTATTAAAGCGGATACAATCGTTGGCACCTCGTTTGGTAAGAGCGGAAGATCCGTCTCTTTGTAGCTGTAGTTCTTGAGCGATGTTTTGTCATTACTGTCACCATGAAATGGATTCCTCATACCGAATATCTCGTATGCAATTGTACCTATGGTCCAAAGATCAGCTTTCGTGTAATTGATATTAGTGAATGGTCCAGGTTCTGTTGTGATCACTTCTGGCGCCATTAGCGCAGCGTTGCCTCCTTTGTCAATATCGTGAGTGTTGAAAGGCAAATATAATCCATGGCTTTTATCAGCAAGACAACATCCAAAGTCTGTAATGACTAAAGACGGGCAGTTGTCAGTTTCTTCGGACAGGTCTAGCAGAATATTGTCGCTTTTCAGGTCTCTAGAATTCGGTGAGAGAAAAAAAATGTAACTCAATGATATATAATATCATAGTATAGCTTTGACCAGTGCAGGTATTGACTTACCGATGTGCGATGCCATGAGCATTCATGTGTGCAACACCTTCAAGTAACTGTGCAAATAGTAGTGTTGATTCTCTGATGCTTATGTCATGATCAACCAGATATTGTTTTAACGTTGTGTCATACCTATCCAGATATAACAGGTTGTATTACTTAATTTACATACAGATCGTGTTGTTTGAGTTGTACTACACATTATACCTTTTCATTAATAGAAACAGACTCATATTTCTTCCAGATCCTTGGGGGTTAATGCGTATAGGCAATGCATCAGGATACATTCTCAAGGAACCAGGTAATGCTGGTACTGTATCAGCAAAAGCATAGTACATTGCTACAATGTTTGGATGTGGCGGTAGCTCTGCTTTTCTTTCTGCCATTTTAATTTCCCATTCGGCCAGTTCCTCATTATTTAAGTGTTTTCTAGCTGGGACAGTTTCCCTGTACATAGCTCTTAAAATGGAAAGTGCATTCGATTCAGTATCATAATTAAACATCATCTTCAATGCCAATGGAAATGTAGCTACATTCGTGGCTTTGCTGTCGATACTTAGTTCATTTTTGTCTTCGTTTGATTCCTTGAATCTTGTTGCATATACAACTGCAGAGCAGCCTTTAGCAATAGCAGGACCAATTACAAAATCACTCAATGTGACAACCTTCTCTTCATCTTTAATAACTTCATAATTCATATCATTTTGAGGCATGTTCCATTGTAATTTTGATACTGCTTCCTGGAAGTTCAAATTTAAATATCATTACAATATTGTTTCTCTCCCTTATTTCTAATCAAGATGAATCAAAATAAATACCCTAATTTCCCAGCAGACTCCCTCCAACTCATCATCTTTTGTCAATATTCCAGATCCAGATGCTAAGGACACTCCAACTAAAGCGAAAAATGGTGCAGAATCTCCAAAGACTAATCTAGTTGCTGCCCGTCTTCTTAAATCAGCTGCCAAACTATTAGTGACTCGTTTTAAGATATTATCAACGAAAAGCCGTCGAGCGTGGGCTCCCAAATAACCAAGGTGTCTTCCAGCGGTAGATACATTGTTGTTACCCTGGGGCAAATAGCCCTGGGACTTGCCTATTTTAGGTGAAATAGTATAAATGTTCAATGTAAACGTATCAATTGCAACTTCTTCGTAAATTAATTTAAACAATGTAATTCTGAACGTAATGTAAATTTTGGCACAACAAAGTCAAAGGTATCTTAGAAATACAGATAAACAATGTACATTCAATGCGTGTAACTTTGTAAGAACATAGAAACTCAAGAACTTTTAGAAAGATAAAAAAGAAAACACTTTTGACAAGGGAACCCCACAGCTGATTCCCTTCCGACTTCAAAGAAATTGGAAGTAATGATTATAAACTTGAAGTAATGTGTGGCTTAAGGTATCGTTTCCAACTGCGAATTTTCTTATGGACACTGAAACCATGTATTCCTATGATAACAGAGTTAGAACGCATTGCGAAGGACAAAGGTTTCAGTGATTACCTACGTGTAAGTCCTTGACGTTGCGATGACTGTTCGCAAGAAATAAATTCTTGATCATTTAACTCACCTACTTGTACAACGTGTATGTTGCCGTGGTTGATTCTTGGATGACAATTAGGGTAGAGACACTCGGTATTTCGAAGGGAGTGTAGTAAAGCCCGACCATTTTGCACGATACGGTGAGCTACCAACCGAATCGACATTTCTCCACCTTTACGGGTTGAGAAAGCCCAATGGGCCACTCCCCAGGAAACACAGGCCTTCGCCGCCGAAGGCAGGCTCGTTACCAACCTGTCAATCGTTTTTCAAAATTTTCTTCTTTTGTATAACTGCGTAGACGACCCCTAAAGGACTTCTTCTACGCTCCATCCAATTTCTTTCGTTTTCGTGTTTCGTTTTTCGCACTCCTGAACTCTATCGACCATTTACAGAACAATATCTTACAATCGGTAAAACAGAACATTATCCACCGAAGATAACTGAAGCCACTAATAAAAGAGGGGGCCACTGGTAAAAATTAAATTTCAAGAAACGATCTCTCGTCCGAAGAATGAAACATAAATATAAATAATTATACTTCCAGGTAATTTATAAAATGAAGGTATGTCTGGAAACGTTTATGCTACACTATAATTTACAAATAATCGATAATATTGTAACAGTAACATAGCACAATAACATGAAACCTCACAATGTAAGTCGATAATCTATTATCAAATATTTTGCTCCAGGCAATGAACCTACAAAAATATCTCCTGAATACCATAGACTCAATCACTAATCAGCAAGGAATCAAAGAATCCCAAAACGACATAATCATTAATACACGATAATTAATTAATCAAGAACCACCGAGGTAACGTCTAACCAAAATACAATGAAAAATCTGTTCAAATTCTCATATACGTTATCCGTAGGCGCCAAAGATGCTCGAGATCTCTCAAATAAACGGAATTCGAGCGCGTTTGAACCAGCTGAGACTTCTGCGAATGGAAATGTAATCGGCAGCGAGGAACATTTGGCGTGGAAAGAGAGGGGGACCCCCGTGCGCGAAGGGTTCACGGTAAAGGGAACCGCGCGGTAGTGCAACGACACGCTTCTACGGGTTATGATCGCGATCGAAGGTATTTCTATTGCGAAATCGTGCTCCAGTGGAGATCCACGACGTCGGGGATAGATCGTTAAAGGGATCAACGCGTAGCTCTGCGCGCCGCTGAACGATCGTTTAACCCAGTTGCATCAGCGGAAAGCATTTCATTCGTATGCACCAGCGAGCGAGGTGGGATCAACGATCTACGATGGAGGCACGCTTGCGCGGCTACTAAATTGAAACTGTGATACGACAATAATTGCCGCCGATAAAACCGATAAGAAGAGATTGCTTGCGAACGACAAATTTTTCTGTGCACACAGTAGGTCAGATATGACGTATCGCTGCAAGTTTTTCTTCTGTTCGCGCCGCTAGTCTCATTGTCTCACATAAGAACGTCATTCGGTGCACCGCCGCAAAAGCAGGTATTAAGAAAAGTATCTACGAACTTTCTTCTATTCTCTCAACCATTAACACGTTGACCGCTGCGACGGTCATCGGTGATCAACATTGCAAGTGTCAGCGGTACAAGTGTCGCTTATGGTCCTGGAATTAATTAGTCCTTGATCCGACGGAATGGTAATATTTGGAAATTTCTTGTGTTGTGAATGAATAATATTGGAATATTAATTTTAGCTGAATGTAGAAGGATATATATTTGAGAATTGTGGTACAAAAATTATTTTTCAACTGTCTTATAAAATAATGTTGATAATGTTTGTTTTATTATTATGATATAATTTATGTTGTAGTGATTGTACATTGTAGATTTATGTTTATGTTGTATTTATTTATGTTGTTTTTTTTGTGTAGGGTGATCTTTAATGATTTTATCAGTTGCTGAATTCTTGTAATGTAATTTTATGAGCATCGTTGCACGGCCGATCGAGCGAGCGATTGCGATGAAATTAATCATTGTGAGAAATTGTAATGCGATACCAACGATCTGTTAAACCGGTATCGCCTGTCAACATTTTTTTTTCCGCGAATGCACGCACACTCTGAACTTAGAGTACCGTTTATTCCTCATATATACTTCTTTTTGCCTCTTCTGTAAAATCAGTTGTCCAAGTAGACTCCATGGAGAAGGTACATTATGCTTGAAGATTGTTTTATTTAAATATTTATTTCATATTTTTTGAATATCTAATATTCTCTATTTTTCTAATATTCAATTTTATCGATTATTGATTTTATTTCATTGTTTTATTTAAATATTTAATATTTCTTAAATATCTGATATTCACTATTTGTCTAATATTCAAGTAATTATTTTTATAAATATACTGCATGCTCATAAATAACATTATTTTCCAGATAAGCATGCCGTTGTTCAAAGGCCGCGTCCCCCAAAAATCACCGACGTCAGATAAAATTTCAAACGGCAGTTCGCATTATGGTAACAATAATCACTGGCAGAGGAGTAAAAACGAAAACGAACAGAACCCAATGAACACCGGCAACGGAGATCACAGTGGACAGAACAGCAATACTGAAACGCAGGAACGACGATCGTTGAAGGTTTCCAGGCCGTCGTTAATTTTTCACTGTCAATTGGCACATGGAAGTCCTACAGGGCTGATATCTGGCTTCAGCAATGTCCGGGAACTTTATCAGAAGATAGCTGAATGCTATGATATACCAGTGGAAGAAGTGAGTTAAATTGACGGTCGATAAACCAGGGTACAAACGAGCCAATCCTTTCCGACAGGAAACGTTTAATTCCGATTCTATTTCCTACATTTAATATGCGAATAATTTGTTGTAACTAGACTACATGCGTGACTGTATCTATAGATAAATCTTTATACAGATGCTAAACAGATGTTTTAAAATTCTTCAACATTTTTATACAAGGTTCAATGAAATTTCATTTACAATCTAACTGTAGCAAATACTTAATTGATTAATTAATTTTGCTAGACATAGATATAGAAATTATTTCACGCGTGTTCTCTATGGTCAGATTAGTATAGATTAACGAGATTTTATTTACAATCTACTTGAGAATATTATTTAGTCGTCTCGATTAATTAATTTTATTAGACATAATATTATTTCACGCTCTATGGGAATTCGCGTCGAACGAGCGGCAAGGATAGTCGAGCGTTTCAGGGCCCATATGGTTTATGGGGAAAGCGTTATTCCGGATACAGGAAACATCGGTTACGGGCCGCGGCCTCTCGCCTGCACGGCGGATACATTCTCTGCGCCGTGATCAGAGACATGTAATAACAGGTTGTAAATGCTATGAACGCATTTTCCATGCTAGTTACCGTTCGTAAGGTCACTTGAATCGGGATTGAACCGAACCAGCTCTCTTAGCGTCGCTTAATGGTCACAGTGAAAGTTGCTAATGACCGAACGCCGAGACGAAAGATTAGGGGCTTTCGGTTTTTCTCAAGAGGCTGGTCGGGTGGGGTACACTATGCGTCATTTTTACCCACTGAGAATTGTACCATTTCTATACACGTGGAAGGATTGTGGGATAATGTAGGATTAATATAGGATTTTTGGGAATTCTAATTAACTAACAAAAGTAACAATGCCGCGCGATTTCATAGAGCAAAATACACAAAGTAGAAAATATAATATTAAATCATTTGATTGAATTGCATTATTATTATTATTATTATATAGAAATGTTTTTAAATAATCATCGTTTACTTGAGTGAACTATAGTAATTCAATTTGGTTGGGGGACACCGGTGACCCTGAAGGGAGCCCTGAAGTAAAGTTTAACAGGGTTGTGAAATAATGAAATATAATTATTAAGATATCAATTTTTTATGTACACAATTATCTGAAATTCAATGAACCAATTGATGCACCTGAAAATTGAAGGCTTTAATAAGGTTTTCATTTTCCTTGGTTTAGTAATTAACATCTGGCCACGTATCCGCCGGTGCATGTTACTGTTCATTAAGAAATTTAGCGTGACAATTAAAGTGGAGGCTGGCTTGTCTAATTTTGCGTGTAGCGTGACGCGTTTGGCTATTTTTTTTATGCATCGCACTCGAACATGTAACATTCGCTTTCTGCGAGGTTCTAACGAGTTCCTCTTCTTTCAGATACTCTTCTGCACACTGAACACACACAAGATAGAAATGACTGAGTTGTTGGGCAGCCAGATAGTGGTAGGTGATTTTATATTTGCCCACAAGAAAGGTACGCTGGTTATTGGTACTTCAATTATTGCCCTTTACGCGTTAATGACAATTTGTTTCTTCAGGGCGACCCAAGGAGATTGAGCTGATGAAATCGGACGACGCTTTAGGGTTAACTATAACGGACAATGGTACAGGATACGCTTTCATTAAACGTATCAAGGAAGGCTCAGTGATCGACAGGATAAAAGTAATAGAAGTCGGAGATCATATAGAGAAAATTGACTCGAATAGCTTGATCGGTAAACGGCATTTCGAAGTAGCAAGGATGCTGAAAGCTATTCCAAAAGGTTCGTCGTTTACGTTAAGACTAGTCGAGCCACTGAAGAATGGCTTTGGTAGCATTGGTCCACGTGGAGAACTGAAAAAGGGAAAGAAACCAGGTTATGGTTCTGGAAGAGAGACGCTTAGATTCAAAGCCGATGGAAGCGCTCAAATTGTGGAAATGGTAATTGGATCTTCAATGGAAAATTCATTTATATATATATATTTATACGTAAATTATGATAATTCTGGACAACTTCATTAAATTATTATTTCTTCTATTGATATTAATCAACAGGTGGATGATGCTGCTGCAGTGGGCATTGAAAAGATTAATGTGATTCTGGAGAGTTTCATGGGTATATACGATACCGAATTAGGCACGTGATTTTATTTATAAATATATCTTTATTTAATAAGTGTTTTTTGTTACAATAGTTTTTTTTATTTTTTTCGTAACAGCTACACAGATTTGGGAGCTCTCTGAAGGCAAATGCAACAGCATTGAATTTGCAGAAGCAATAGATAATTCAGACTTGGAAGCTTTTGGCTTTACAGATGACTTTGTCATTGAATTATGGGGTGCTATTACCGACGCTAGAGCTGGTAGACATCGATGATAAAAACGGTCGCTCGAGTTGCGACAAAATAAATTTCTAAAAGCTATGATTTCTGTGCATTCCAATTTATTAAATGCTCGTACTTTTTTTGAATATTAAATTATGACCAGCATGTAAAATGGTTTGCACAGTAGCTTATACAAATAAGGAATAGTTGACACAGCGGTTACGATGTAAATTATTCCTTTGTTAGCATATAGACCTAGTACAACTAGGATAAGCATAATATAAGTTTATAAATCGTTAACAGATAAGAAATAAAAAATTTAGGATACATTGTGTTCTGATAAAATTTTGTTTTATTTTTTAACTGATAAATTAATACTTGAGCGTTTCCAGACCTTGAGATTGTTGTCAATCAATTACGTAATATCGCTATTTATCAAGTGATTAAATGCAACCAGTAAGAGCCGTACTGATTACAATTCAATTTAAATAATGTCGGTTATTTACGCAGTCGGTATTGGTATCACTAACGAAAACGTCATCGAAATTTAACCTAACAAACACTTGAGATATCGGTGAACAAGTTGTAACACACGATCATGGCTTCCACTATCAGCAGAGCTAGCTGCCTACTTTTTCGTTTAAGCGATAGTTCAAGAAATAGTTATAAACGTTTTAAACTTGCCAGAGTATGTATTATTTAATATTAATTTAAAATATCGAATAATTTGGATATTAATGCAAACCTAACCTGTCGACCCTTCCGGTATTTAAAGTTTGACAGTGCATGGCTGATTTAACAAACATTGATTTATTGTAAAATAATGATTTGAAAACCTATAGCATTATTGTAGATTATTTTTTCGTATTTTAACATTATTATATAATTGTCTATAACTTTTTTCAATAGGTATGTACAGTTAATTTCTCTGTAAGAGCTAATATATCTGAAACAGAAGAAGATGCTCGAAAGACACCTGTACTTAGTGGTAATGGAAAAGTATTTAAATCTGTTGACGAAGCAATATGTGATATGTCAGATGGTGCCAAGCTTTTAGTTGGTGGATTTGGACTATGTGGAATTCCAGAAAATTTAATAGCAGCTATATTGAAGAAGGGTACGAAGGATTTAACTGTTGTTTCCAATAATGCAGGTGTTGAAGATTTTGGATTAGGTATACTTTTAAAGGAATATAGGATAAAAAGAATGATAGCTTCCTATGTGGGTGAAAATCCCGAATTTGAGAAGCAATATCTCAGTGGTAAATTAGAAGTTGAATTAACACCTCAGGTGATTATTTAGAATAATGAAAGTTAAGCTTGTAACAGAACTAAGGTATAACAACTGTATCTTTAAAAACTTAGGGCACATTAGCTGAACGTATTCGTGCAGGTGGAGCTGGTATTCCTGCCTTTTATACACCTACTGCTTATGGAACTTTAATCCAAGAAGGCAATGTTGTTGTCAAATATGACAAAGATGGAAATGCGGAAATATCTGGAAAACCAAGAACTGTAGCACAGTTTGATGGTAAAAATTATGTTATGGAAACTGCAATCACTGGAGATTATGCTCTCATAAAAGCATGGAAAGCAGACAAAGCAGGGAATTTAATATTCAGGAAATCAGCCAGAAATTTTAATCCAGTAATGTGTAAGGCGGCTAAGATAGCAGTGGCAGAAGTAGAGGAGATTGTAGAAATTGGTGAATTAGATCCTGACCATGTACATTTACCTGGTATCTATGTAGATAGAATAGTTAAAGGTCCTTCATATGAGAAACGTGTAGAGGTTCGTGCATATTTGAAGATAGCAATGAATTATTAAAAGTATATACTTACTTCTATTCCTTATGTATGTTAGAAACGCTTCACTAAAGAAACTATGAGACCTAAGAAAGTAACACCAGCTAGTAAAGTAAAGGACAGGATCATTAAACGTGCTGCCCTTGAATTCAAAGATGGAATGTATGGTAAGACATCCACAATGAAGTAAGTATATTACAAAATATGCTTAACCTTCAATCAATAAACTTTTCTGCAGCCAATCTGGGAATTGGTATACCAGTACTTGCATGCAAGTACATTCCCAAAGATGTAAAGGTAACTTTGCAGTCCGAGAATGGTATCCTAGGTCTCGGTCCCTATCCAGACAAAGATGAAATTGATCCCGACTTAATCAATGCTGGAAAAGAAACAGTCACCGTACTACCTGGAGCATCATACTTCAGTAGCGACGAAAGTTTCGCCATGATTCGAGGGTACATATTAAAATTATTATTTCCAATAGACAATTGTTACTAATTTTAATTGTTTTAGAGGTCACGTTAATTTAACAATGCTTGGAGCGATGCAAGTATCAGAAACAGGAGATCTAGCTAACTGGATGATTCCCGGAAAGCTGGTGAAAGGGATGGGTGGTGCAATGGATCTAGCTGCCGCACCAGGCACAAAAGTGGTGGTCACAATGGAACACAAAGCTCGTGACGGAAGTCCAAAGATCTTAAAAAATTGCACAATGCCGTTGACAGGTGACATTAATATAATATGATCAACTATATAATGATTGCCCTAAAAACTGAACGGTCTCCTCCATCCTTTAATACTCCAGGGCAACAATGCGTGGATTTAATAATCACAGACATGGCAGTTTTCGAGGTGATGAAAGGAGAGGGGTTAAAGCTCATCGAAATCGCGCCGAATGTTGAGATGAGCGACCTCGTCAGCTCTACCGGTTGTGAATTCGCGGTGGCCGACGACCTTAAAGAAATGAGGCAGGTGGACGTAGAATCTTGCGAATAAAAACGGTAACCCACTTAAACAGACTTTTAAGTACTCCGCGGTATACAGATAGAAAAGTGACACATACACACGTATTCATAAGGAGATTCGACGCTTGTATAAATTAGCTTAAGTCTACCATAAATACGTTAGGACTTCATTTATCCAACATCAGACCTAATCGCGCAAACGAAGCTCGTCGAAAGTACATGTACAGGTAGGAACAGATAACAGGTTATGGATTGTTATTATCTCAACGTCTCAATTTACCCGGACTGTTTTCTTTGTCGACTCGGATAAATGGAATCCAGTTACATTAAGCATAATACTAGGTTTTAACGGGCAAAGCGATATATAATTTTGTAATGGACGCGACGAAATAAAATCAAACTCTTACTCTCTAAATTTAGCTTTTACTCTGGCGGGCAGTGGTAACAAATAAAGCACGCTGTTAAGTATACATAGTCCAACGGCGAACGCCAGAGAGATCAGCAGGTTTAGGTCGACGTTCAGCACTTCTGAAATGTTTTCGCCCTCCCGGGTGAAACGTTCTATCAAGTAGGTCCTTCCGTCGGGGTACCTGCAGAGCTCCGGTACACCAGGACACGCGAAGCTTTCATTGTAATGAAGATTTAAGAACATAGGCATGTCGATGGCCAATTGGTTCAGCGCCAAAGAAGCGTATCTTGCTGGTAATGCGGTGGAGACGGCCGCCAGCCAATATGGCAGAGCTTTCAGACTCCTGATAGCACCGGATGCTACCACCAGGGACACCAGCGTCATGTACAAAACCGTGATAGCGCCTGTCACTGGTTTTCCAACTACCATCATCACGGCCACGGTTACTTGTTCAGCTGCGACGTAACTTGCCCACAATACTCCAGAAGCATATGCCCAGGACGCCAAGTCTAACTCCAGGATAGGCGTCAGGATACCGATGGTGATCATGGATGACAGGAAACTGAGTGGCAAACTTAACAACGCGTACGCGGTCAGGAACATTGCGCCACCGTAGAGACCTTCTCTCTTCTCCTGGTAATATCTGGCGCGATAACCTGGAACTGGATGATCACAGGCGAATTTTATGTTCTGTTGGAGTCATTGGCGCTTTAAGTCAGCTGGAACTTACGAAGGAGTGCTGTGGTTGCTATCCCAGCTACGTAGAACAGTGTCAATACGTTAAACGTTAGACCACTTGTTTGTAGGAATATTCTGGATTGTACAGGGGTGGAATGGGAGTATAGAATGCTCATGAGGGCAACAGAGAATGGTAGTAGTAGGAGGCGAGTGGCGAAGTGTCCTAAACCACATTTGTTGAAGGCGAATGTTGCTGCCATGCTTCTCCTAGGGTGTGAAATAATGTAGTAGTTTATGAAGAATTTATAAAGGGTGTTTTTGAAGGGCAAAGAATTTGTGAAGAGTATTTACAAGTAAAGAGCGAGGAGGGTGGAGAAGCAACCAGGCTTGATCCCTCGACCTAGTCCTTTGTGCATGATACCAAGTGGCGTATCCTTCACGTTGGGCGGCACTTGCGGTGCCTCCTTCATGTAAATAACGCCCTCCGCTTTGAACTTGTCGACTAAGACAGATATCTGTTGATTGGACTCCAGGAAACGATCTCTGGAGCGGCGGTCGACCGTTGATAGACACACTAAATTGATTATATGAAACTTAACCTATATGTTCTTTTCTTAACTCTTTAAAGAGAGCAGAGGTAATTTTTATATTATTTCTTAGAATATAAATGTTAGTAAGTATTTACTTACAGTAGTACATCAATGGGTTTTCGAGTTCAGGGCAGGGGAATCCAATGTAAGTGAAGTAGTCCAGCATACTCCTAGTTGGTCCAGAATAAACCACAGCACCCAAGCACAGAAGGGTGACACGACTTACAAATGGAAGTACGTCTGATCTGGGAGTCTCCATTGTGAGGACAACAATGGATCCTCTCCGAGTAGCATAGGACCAAAGCATAGAAACGATTAAGTAGGTATTTAGGGGATCCGTGTCCCATGTTGGCTCATCTAGAAGCAATAACGTGGGGTCCTTCGCCAGCTGAACTCCCAGCATCAGTCTTCTATACTCTGGCTTAGTCAAATCATTCACTGCTCTATTAGCCACCTGAGACAATGCCAAATCCGCCAATGTTTGTCTCACTCTAGCCTCTCTGTTACTCAAATTTGCTAACCAGATAGCATAAGTTAAGGTCTGGCGAACAGTTAAACTAGGCAACAGGTGACATCTGTGAGCAACGTAACCACCATGACGTCTGAACAGCTCTGGTGTGAGTAGGTTATTGTTCAAAGTGACTCTGCCTCTTGTTTCTCCTTCTGCTCTTCCAGCTGAAAAAAGGAATGATGAAATGACAGCATCATTGTAATTTACAATAAGTAGCAACACTGGATAAATAAAAGTGCTTTACAAAACAAATCCAATTCCATTGAAAATCTTATCTTAAGATAACACTAGAGCTACCAGATCAGTATCCCAATAGAAAATAATTATCTTAACACTAGAACTTAGAGAAGTTATTAAAGTTAATTCAGTAATACCTAAACTAAAACAAACCAACTGAAATCTCAATGAATACACACTTGCAGCTTCCATACAAAAATTTTAAGAAGTCAATTTAAGTGTTTGGTAGTTCCAGTGTTAGAAGCACTTTTATTACCATAATCTCTGATCAACTCTCTTACCGATAACATCCAGCAAAGCCCTTTTGCCGGACCCTTTTGAGCCCAGAATCGCCAACACTTCTCCGCCATGGACCCTAGCAGATACGTCTCTCAGCACCGCAGTGGGTTCCGTTTTGCTCACGCAGCTACCCTCTATCACCACCGCCGTCAAATGGTACACGTTCGCTATGTCCAAGGTACAGTCTGATGGTATCATTGTGGTCCCTCTGATTCACATACCTCGCCGGTGGAAAATTAACTGGTAAACGTTTTACTCCACTCAACGCGAACTCTTTAAACAATGGTCCTTTTGAAAACCACCCGAATGTAACAGGATAAATTCTAGTGGGCAGCACGGTGTCCGTGGAAGCGACTGGTCAGACATTGCAGCTGAAACGAAGCTGTCGGCAGCGATACCTGGACTTGGGAGTTGGCTAAGCGAGGTGAATGTCTCCTTTCTGAGCAGAGATTGGTGGGAGGTCGAAGGTACACACCATCAGCGAGTAGCGCACCAGTGTACCTATCCGACAGGATTCCCCTGGGATACCTGTTGAATGTTCATCATTAGTATCCTTGTCTTTAATTAAAATTAATATTACTTAGAATTTATTGTATTTAAGTTCATGGTTTCAAACACTTATTAGTACTATTTCTACACTTATAGCATTTAATTACTTAGATCATTTAAATTTACATTTTTATGCTGTAAATTTTTCATAAAAAATTCTAACTTTCCTTTAGAAAATTAAACACTGAACAGGTCACATTTTTACAGAGTTACTTAAGATTAGTCACTGAAGTATCTTTGTTGATTTTAATGAAACAAAGAGAGTCTGTAATAAAATATTCAGTTCAATTCATTTGTATGGTTCCTATTAACTCCTTACACTAATCACTATCAACATTTTTCCCATTATTTTTTAGGATCCTGTGGAATACAAGTTACCAAACTCATTCCCCTTTCACCTCCTTGTAAGTTTACAATAACGTAAGTTTAGAACGTTAGTATTTCTCTCGTCTCCTCTAATCACACCGTTCAACAAACTCCAACATCCTTCTCCAATTTAACATTAACCATTCGCATTTTCAGATTTTTAACCGCCTCGTACGAATCCGTAGACCAAATCATGCTCAACACCATTCTCAACGAGAAAAAACACAAGAAAAGCATGCAACAAAGTCCAACGCATTCTGGTCTCCTCTTCAGTCTCCAAACACATTCCTACATCCGCAACGAAAACACATTCCAAAAATGTTAATTTACAGATTCAAGATACACAACATAATTTTCTTACCAAACTGGCTCCAAAGACCAAACCCAAGAAAAATACAAAGGTCCACGGATTCCTCAACAACAGAGATCCTGAAGAAACATCATCCTGAATAATCGTCCTGAAGAACCATTATCTTGAAGGACCATCATCCTATAGAATTATCCAGAGGAACCATCATCCTACAGAATCATCGTCTTGAAGAGCCTTCATTCTGAAGAATAATCATTTGAAAGTACAATCATCCTAATGAACCATTATCCAGAGGAACCTTCACCTTGAATAACGATCATCCTGAAGAATACTCATCCTACAGAATCATCGCTCCGAAGAGCCATCATCCTAAAGAATAATCATCTGAAAGAACAATCATCCTGAAGAATAATCTTAAAGAGCAATAATCCTGAAGAACCATGCTGAGGACATTCGTCAGCGTTACCACGATCCTTCAGGAGGCCTGAGGTGCCCCAAAGGTAGGGCCCAAGCGTAAGGTGTGTGCGCCACTGCGAACTTGAAAGATGGAACGTCGAGGCCCGACGAGGGAAGGGGCCTAGCTGCTCGAGGGGGAGGGCACCGGGCACTCGGAAGGCACGTATGTCAGGGAGGGCAGCGTTCAGAAAAGGCTCCATGCGAGTCGGCAGGCGTCGCGCATACCGATCCGTTGTCTGTCGCGGTATCGGTATATCCGCGGGTAAAGTGATGCGTTCGCGGGAAGCCGATTCCCGTCGCGAGAAACCGTGCGTCGTCCGGTAGTTCCACGGGGATAACCGTCCAGCGAGGAGAACAAAAGGCGGAGGTACCAACAAGTCGGATCATGGAGGAGCAGTATCGTCACCTTGACTCGGCGAGGCTCGGTTGAAAGCTCATCCTGAATACCGGCGGTGAGTCACTGCCGCGAATAACGATCCCCGAATTCCTGTTCCTCCGTTGGACGACCGGGCATCGCTCCTGATCGGACAGAACGCTGAAAGATAAAAGCCAGAGCTGTAACAGTGGATTTTCGCGATTTTTCTTGTTAAACCGGCGCTGAAAAATCGCTGGGGAGGGAGAAACGTATCGGTGGCGAGAAAAAGGGGAGGGTTGACGTAGCACACCCGGCACGGTCACGGTTCAACGACTGCGAACCTGATTTCGCGTTACAAGAAAGCCCCCTCTTGACCGGTGAAAGCGATGCTTGATTAGAAGAAGCTCGGATGTAGCTTTGTAACCGAGGGTCTCTCGTTTATCAACCCTCTGATGGGTTTGAGCTGCGAGCTGCAGCTTTGGGAAGCAGTGCTGGAAAGCGTGGCATGGAGGACTGATTTGTACTAGAATCGTTTAACTGTAGTTGTTGAGTATTGGAACTGAGTTTGCCGAGATTCTCTGTGGAAACTGTGAGTGTATTGTGGAGATGTCCATTGGCTCGTTTAATGGTTTCTTAATTAATAACTTAGAGACTACTGGACAGGTCAAATTGGCCCACTTCAGAATTTTTATAGTAGTTACTACAGTTCTGTTAAATATTCTACTTGACACTAGAATCAACAAATAGATTAAATCCTGAATTCTTGTAGAATTATTAAAAAGATAATTCTGTGAGTTACTAAAGAAATGATTCACTGCTATGGAAACTAAATTATAAAAGGTTGAACAAGTTTGACTGGTAGTTTCAGTATTAAAATAATGAAATTATTCAAACAGGTAACAAAAGTTCCTCTGAGTTACCAAGAAATTCATTTAGCGATACTCAAGAAAATATAGAGTATTTCAAGTGGAAAAACTTTTGAGTGCAAAGGGTTCGTAGAAATCTGAACAGCAGTTTCTACAGTTCCCACAGAGAAATTTCGGGAAGTGAATTCGCCATTTCTAGTGTGAAGAAATGTTCACGCCACGCTCGCCGCGGCGTTTCGCGCGTAACAATTTGAATTTCGCTGTCGCCACTTTCACCGGACCGTTTATAAATGCGGTAACGCCCGAGGGTGTTACATTGAGTCATCCGAACAATGATCGCCCGGTGACTTCGATGCGCGGACAAGGGACGAAACCTCCGCGGCCGTCCACGTGACGCGTGCGTCGCAGACGAAGGATCCACGATGTTGATCGTCGATCCTTCTCGCCGTCTATTCACCGCGGAGAATCGAGCGGAATGTTCTTTGTTCGTCGGAACGGACACGGAAGATATCATAAATAACTAGACTGCGGACGTTCGTGCGTTTGCAGCGCATTCGCCGTGATAGTCGAATCGGCCAGCCTCACAAAAAGTAGAGAAGAATGACGCAGTAACGTGTATACAGTCAGCAACGAGAGTATTTGAACGGTAACGCAAGAAATGATCATTAGAAACATTGTACAACGTGTAGTGCTGTTTACAAGTTGCATTCATGGTATACATGGTGTACACTGTTAGAATTACAGGAAAATTTTGAAAATCAATTTGACTGATAGTTCAATTTTGTTACTGACTGTACATGGATTTTATAAATTTCTCTCTAACGTGATAATGCACGGTGGTTTAATGAAAGCTTTCAAATTGGAAATTATTGTAACAAGAATATTGATATGTTGGTATTAGAATGATGTATTATAAATATATAATATGATCTCTATTTATTTCATTTTGATTAGATCATATTATATATTTATTAATAGATTTCCATTTTAATAGATATACGTGTAATGCACATAGAGAAAATCATTCGAGAATGATTACACGGGGATTCATTTTGTTTTCGAAAGCTGGAAATTGCATAAACATCCGGAGTCTGTAATTATCCAGGCCAGCGCTCTATAAACCCTAAAAAGACTACAGTTGCTTTTCTTGTTTGTATCGTGTATGATATTTAGTGATTAGTGATTTGTCGTTGCTCGTGGCTGCAACATTGTCATTAGAACATCGTGTTCCGTTTAACAAAGGCATTGTCTCATAGAAATGAACGGATGAAGTTGCTCGGCCGCGAGACTTCAGTCTTTCTAGGGCTAAGATCCGCCGTCACGTGTACAGGATCAAGAGGCGAGCGTAGAAATCGGTGCGTGGGACAGTCCCACAGCCACCGGAAGAGATTTAGAAACCGGAGTGTGTGTCGTTCCCCTCACTTGAACCGTCGTGTCAAGTTCCACGTCGGCTAACGAGAATTATTAACGCGCCGACTATGATGGTGGTCACCCGGTGAACGGCACCGTTAATCCGTCGTGTACTGATGATACCCAAAGTACCATTTTTTTCACTAAAATATTGCTGAGAACGGGACGTGTTTACATTAATCAAAGAACCGTTCAACTCGTATGTATATGCTCTTTAACATTGGAACATCAAATAATCAAATTGATTTGTAAAATTTTTCTGTAATTCTAGTTCTATGGTTGTATAGTTGTATAGTTATATAGTTCTGTAGTTCTGTAATTTTACAGTTCTACAGTTCTACAGTTCTATAGTTCTGTAGTTCTATAGTTCTATAGTTCCATAATTCTATAATTTTATAATTTTATAATCTTACAATTCCATAATCCTTTCGCTGGTAATGTAATAATATCCATGAAGACTTAAATGCTCATTAGTGAATATTGGCCGACAACAAATATCCTGATCAGCTCGCTGACACGAGACACAAAAAGAAAAGTGAAATTTCATTAAGTGATGCGATCGGTGACCTCGTAGCCCAGAACTATCGCTTTTCGAAGCGCGAAAGTCTAAACTCGAACGGGTCGAAAAGTGAATTTACGTATGTAGGCACGCACAGCCGTGTGTGTACGAGCCTGTACATGTGTACTATGGAATCACACAGTGGCGTTCATACTTAATGCTCGACGATCAAAGTCAGCGGACCGTGAGTGGACGCTGTTAACGAAAGATATTAATTAAATATTATTTTCTCACCCTATAAGCTCGCGCATGCTCCACCGAGCATAGTGTACGCGTTCATGCGTTTCGAAAAATGACCAGGAAGGTATACGGGGTGTCTCGTGACTGATGAGGTAATCAGTTAACACTTTCCAAACCATTAATACCTCTCTTAACGCTAGAACTACAATAACGTGACAGACTCATGGCAAAGAATTTAAATAAAATTGAATAATCACAAATGCCACTTCATTCTTTCGAGTCCAAATGAAATATTGTTTCTCTAGTATCAACTGCGACGCCTCAGAATAAATATATATATGTTAACATTAAAGCTACCAAGAACTTAGACAGAACTTTCAACAATTATTAATATCTTCAAAGCGTTAAAAATCGAAAATGACTCTAAATATAAATACAAAGTGTCACAAAATAATGTTACCACACTTAGCTGTTAAAACTTTAAATATCATTTGTCTTAATTTTTAATGAAACTCTGGTAACATTTGTTTGCAACACCCTTTAGTTTCATTTGAGTACCACAACGAATACTGTCACTACAATTTTCCTGAAGAACATATTAATCGTATAAAACCCTCAATTGTTCCCGTGTCAACATATACGATCCTATTTTGAAAAAAGTTTTCACTGATTTTTACAAACAGACTCATGAACAGACACGTTGACAGATGCCTACTTTATCGATACACGTGCTAAACAAGTTTTCTATTCATACGTTCAAGCTATTCTCAGACGCAGTATCGTCTTCCCCTAACTGATTACATTATTAACACTAAAACAACCGAGCAGTTAAATTAACGTTTTGAAATTCCTCTATAGAAACCTCACGACTGCATCTATTGAGACTTTAGTTGATTTTCAATTCAGTTTGCGCATTGCTACATCAATTTCTGTTCATCGAAATCTTTCTTTTTTATAATTACAAAAAGAAGAAATCAGGGTCATTTTGACCCTTCTAGTAGTTCTAGTATTAATTATCGGACACCCGGTAGAACGGTTTTATGAGCATAATTTCGCGTTTCTTGGACAAGTCTCTCCTCCGAATCCTCGTGAGAAGCAGAAAACGAAAAATTCGCCAACTCGAAATTACTTCCCCGTGCCCTGGCCGATGTAAGCGCGCAACGAGTCGCAGAAACGGGATATGCAAATGAACAGTTAACTCAGATAGTTCTAGTATAGTTATCGGTCGGCGAAAAGAACCGTGACGCGTTACGTAAATCGGGGGACAGAGCGACTCTCGAGGATCGGAGCATGAACCTCGGAGATCCTCCATTAACGCTGAAACTATCGGACCAATAAAAATACAGCGATGCTCGGTTAACCCTTTGAGTGCTGAGAATTGATATATAGAAACTTTTTGTTGATTCTATTAGTAATACAGGAAGTCTAATATGTTGTTAGTATTGTGTAAAAATTGTATGAACTTTAAACATTTCCCCTGGCACTCAAAGGGTTAAAGGTGATTAAAAGCTGTGTGTAAGTGGAGTAAATCAAGCTTAAGAAATTGTAACGTTTGTTTCGTGCAGAATTTTACTCTGAAGGGGTGAGACCATCCGTTATATAGTATAAAACTATTTGTTCAATTTAAATTAAAGCAGCGCTTTAAATACCTCGAATAACTAAAGATATATGAGTTAGTCCACTTTCGACATTAACGGTACATGTAACAGTGAAATTTTGTAGAATATCTGAGTGTGTTTCCTAGATGCAGGTACTGTTTTCCATATCGGTATTAACAAGTTGAATGCCCCGCGATTTCACCGAGCAAAATGAAATGAATATAGAATTAAATTATCTCTTTGCTTCATCTAATATTGTAACGAACGGTACAATGTGCAGGAAATCGTGGAGAGTTTTTCTGGAATATTATTTATGTCTTATAAAGACTATATGATTTATTCAATAGAATATTCTAACCGTGGGAACGGACAGCATTATTTATAATATAGAAATGTTGTCAGATAATTATCGTTTCTTTGAGTAAATTATAATTCGATTTGGTTAGGGGTCACGGGTGACCCCCATAGCATTCAGCGTGTTAATGCTAGCTCATTGTATCTAATGAGATTAGTTTCAAATATATTGCCTATAAAGTTATCAAATTGTACAACCATTGACAATTATTTAACTTTTCTTGGATTCCTAAATCAATCACTTTGGATGTAATCGGTTTTAAAATAAAACGGTGACTACTTTTGACTCCAGTCAAGTCGGTATATCGTTGAAAGTTCCAACGCGATATCCTGTATCATCTGATAAAAGATACTGCCCGAACTGGAACCACGCGGCTTTCGACGGTACGTAATAGCTGTATCGGCACCGGGAGCGGCGATTAGCGGGCAAATAATGTAGAATCTTGGCTAGCGTTCCGAGTGATCACCGGGCGTACCGTTACACTCCATCACGGGTAAAAATATCAGCTGATGGTGGACGCGTGGCCAACGGTGCCCCTCGATCACCAACAATTCATCGCTTGACAAATCAGTGCCGTTGATTTTCATTTGTGAATCCACTGATCCATGAATTTTTAAATCTACAATGAACAATAAAACGTTACTGTATATTCAAGGTATATAAAGGACAATTTAATTAAATCTCAATTCGTCAATTGACACGTATGGAAAATTAAAATTTGTAGAAGTTAAAGACTCGATTAAAAGAGCAATTAACCCTTTGCCTTACAGTAAATCAGTGCCGCTGATTTTCATTTGTGAATCCGCTGATTTTGAAATCTACAATGAACAATAAAACATTACTGTATATTCAAAGTATAAAGAGGACAGGTTAATTAAATCTCAATTCATTCAATTGATACGTATGGAAAATAAAAATTTGTAGAAGTTAAAGACTCAATTGAAAGATAAATTAACTCTTTGCCTTAGAGTAACGTGAACAGAAACTTACATGTCATTCCTCTGTTATCAATGATTATATCTTAGAGCATACATTTAATAACAAATTATGAATATCAAAGTAGTTCGATCGATCACAGTTCAAAAAGGAACGATAGGGGTTGAAGAAATCGTTTCAGGGAATGCCCCGGAGTATGATGTAGCCGCCGACGTCGGGCTCCTCGAGTAGCACTCCTTTTTTTCCAAGAACCTGCTTCCAAGGATGCTTGTTTTCGCGCGGAAAGTACGTAGCGTGAGTCAACACATCTAACGGGAAACTTCAGCACTTCTGAAAAAAAGAAGTTCCATCAGACGTGTTGGAATTTGCATGGGTCGTGGAAAAAACAACTCTTCCCCGGCGCGGATCGCTTCCGTCCGTGTTATTATTATTCGCGTAGCGGACTTTCATTATTCTGAAAAGGAAAAAGAACTGCACTGAGTCTCGAAACCGCAACGTTCTCATCGACAACTGTTACAACGAGATAAAAGTGAATGGGGGGGAATCACCGCGATCGCTGGCCTCTTTGCGAGTTATTCTCCTAAGTCCAGCATTTCCATTAACCCTTTCCGCTGCAGGCGTTTTTCTATTGCAACACGTATAAAGGATATCGATAAGCCTGAATATAAGAGATCCATACTGTCAATCACGTTGGCTAAAAATTAACTGAGCTAAATCCGAATACCTCGGTGCTGTTGAGAAGAATTACCAAGCTTGTCCACTGCAAAAGATAAACTTAGGATGATATTAAGATTTTGTTTAACCCTTTGTCCTACTTTTCACAATTATGCTCGACAAACTACGTTAATAATTTAGTAGAAAAGGAAACAAATTTTCTGTTTATTCTGTGTCCACATTTACTTTAAAGGTTTAAGATTGATGATAGACAGGTAATATTTCATTTGTATGAAAAATAAATAACATTTAGATTTGCCGAATTCAATTGAAAGGAATCATCACGAGTTTGACTCGTTATTATAGGAGCAAGGGTTAAGAGCGATTGAAAATTGTTTTCTAAGTGTTATTTACCTTGCCAATAACTGAAAAGATTACTCATTGCTGCTGGATAGTAAAAGGGTTGATCTAGCGAGGATCAACAGGTGTTGCGGAGTACGCGTCAGCGAGCTCCTCGCTGGTATCACCGTTAAACAGAATGCCGCTGCCTCGAGTGCGTGTACAATCAGCATAATGACTCGAGTCTGAGTGCGTTTGCCCTGGCTGCTCGGGGTCGTAGCCAGGGACTCGTTCGTTGTACAGTAAAAAAAGTCTGGAGACTTCAGGTTTTCATGGTTGAACATCCTGTCCTGTCGCTGAAGTCCCATTCCAGTGTCCTCTCAGCGAGACAGCTTACCTGGAACGTAACAACTCTTAGATTACATTATTAACTAGTTATTTACACTGATGAACATTTTTATTCAACGACAGTTACCTTACTAATTATAATCGTTTTCAAGTAATTCGAGAGCTCCGGAGAATAGAGAATATATTTTATGAAAGCTCGTTTGTAAAGTGCTTATTAACATTGCACAATTTGCTTTCAATGTTTAAAACAAACCACATTAACGTATTTTTCTTTGTGGTAGCGACACGTTTGAGACACTCTGTATGACAATTTAAATGACTATCTCACCCGGAATTACCCTGCACATAGTCATTTAGCATTGACTCTTTGTAGACGGAAGTCATTTCGAACATCAAGCTCTCCTACCCTAGATACAAATGTTATTGAATTTCATTCAAGTCACTGAAAATCAATGTTCCCTTTCTCTACTTTGGAGTTCAATAATTTAGCTTCCTCTGCCGAAGGCTCTGAACATTTAAAAGTATTCTCGCTGGCGGAGTTGAAAACGATTGGTCGCCGTTCCAAGACGTCTGGACATCGGTTACGAATGCGTTAAATCAGCGCCAGCCTCGTGTGAATTGTTGTTCAACGAGCGTGGTAAAGTTGACCGGTTGGAATTCGCACTGGCCAGTGGATCGGTTCGAGTTTTCTCTTCAAGCCTGTTTCGGGCCAGTATTCTAGTCAGATATTTTCCTTTCACGTTATTGCCGCCGGTTCAGAGGGGGAGCAACGGCGAACGGCGAACAATTTCGAGCCTCCAGCGGCGGCGAGTAATTCCAAAGGCTCGCCGATTATTCGCGTTCAGCGTGCACGCGTATTCTTGGAATGCTGGGCTGGCTAGTCGCGGCAGTACCATTCCGCGTGGCTCCCTTTTCTCCAGCCTCGCTCGCTCGCCAGCTAGCTGTTCCGTAGTACTATGACGTTCTGCTAAACCTATGGAAACAATACGCTGTTCAGATACCGCGAACCATGGGCTCAGAGGCGTGGGAGCTTGAACGGAGGTACTCGGTACCTGGAGCCTTGGACACCAGGGGCTTGGAACCACCGGCCAGCGAAGACCTCCACGCATGGTCCATTTACAGGTGATTCTTCTGACAACTTTGCTCTTCCCAGTTTTCTTGAAAATTTTTAAACCTGTGTAACAGGGAAAATACGATTAATAGTCTTGAGTGCATTAATACTAGAACTATCAAATGGATTAAAATGACCAATTCCTAATTATTTTACAATTACTGTACAGGTACTGTATAGCTTGATTACTTCCTCGAAATTTTTCATATATTTTATCTTAATTTAACAAAGGAACTAATAACTGAAGTTGCACAGTGACAACAGTTTTCAAATAAACCTGGTCAATGATTAAATTAACATTTAGAATGTTTCTACAATTGCTTCAGTTTGTTCTCAAGTTTATAGTCCACTAACGACTCCCTTCCAGGCAAAACCTGAATTCGGACTTCACCGATTCAGCGCTGGGGTCCGCGGAGAAGTCACCCCTTCCGTACGGCAACTTCCAGCTGCGTGACTCGACGGTGCAGAGTATACTGAGACACCCCAGGTACGGGCCGAAGAGCCCGTTGGCCAGCAACTCCTACACCTACCTGAAGTTTGGCCTCCCGCGGGTTTTGCCTCCCAGCGCACGGAACCGCGACGGCTCCAGTGGCTACGACTCCAGCGAGGAAGGTCGACGAGTGTCCCACACTGGTACCTCCGGCCATGGAACCTCGGCCATGCGATCAGCCAGAAGCGACCCCGACTTCAGGCACGTTCACGCCGTGCCTAGAGAGTACGTGCACTCTCAGTTAACGGTTTCCAGGGAGAATCCACGGCTAAGAAGTGCCAGTGAAGCGAACCTACTTCAAGGTGGCATCAGGGGCAACCGGAGGCACAGCATAGCCCCTATAGATCCTGGCTATGGGGTTCATGAACCTAGAAGTAAGATTAATTAACATCTGTACGAATTCCTTTATGTGTAGCCCCTGATCAAAAACTTAGGACCACTTGTCTTAGATTGGATGTCATCTTTGAGAAGACCAACGATGAATCAATTATGTGATTCTTTTCTGATGAAGAAATTATTATTAAATTTTTTGTGGACCTCCAATTCTAGGATTATGAACGATGATCAAAACTATGGTGGCTCTAATTCTTTGATCAGGGACTGTTCATTTACATTTTACTTGTACCGCTTGCCCTGAAGATTATGGTACAAAGCTGAGGAATCATTTTCCAGGTCATGGAATCCTGGGACCAGAGAGTTACAACCTGCCTTTGAGGCCTGTACCCTGCCTCCAGCATCCCCACCTTCAGCTACGCGGTGTAGAAGCTTCCGGATCCGACGGATTACCTCTTCTGCGCGGGATCACCCTTGAAGCCGGTGCTACGGAGATCCTAGCCATCATGGCGACCACTGAAAAAGAGGGGAAGCATATAGTGGAGACTGTGGCTGGTCGGAAACGGATCAAGCGCGGGGACATCCTGCTGAATGGGAAATCCGTGTCCTCGCGGTCCTTGAGGTATCCTTCGTCTTACCTGTAGACAGTGTTGAAGAGAATGCGCCGGTAGCTAACAGCTCCTTGCTGCTAGGTCTCGTGTCGCCTACTTGTCAACGGAGAGTGGACTCAGCCCTGGCTTAACTGCTCAACAGACGCTCAACTTCTACATGCTGTTGAAGGGTGGTCCAAACACGTCTAAGTTAGAGGCCGACGCGATTCTTCAAGAACTCGGGTTGGAGGCGACTAAGCATTGCCTGGTGAACTCGTTGACGACTTCTGAGGCCAGGAGACTCGCTCTGGCCTGCCGTTTGTTGCAAGACTCCCATATCCTAGCGTTGGACAGACCCACGCACGGTCTGGACATCTTTGACGCGTTCTTCCTGGTGGAATACTTGAGGCAATGGGCCAACAGAGGACAGAGGCTCGTGGTCTTGACGCTGCACCCGCCGACCTATGAAATCCTGACGATGGTGTCGAAGGTCGCACTCACTTCCGGCGGCAGAATTATGTACTCTGGTCCCAGACGGGATATGTTGCCATATTTTGCGCTCGCGGAGTTCCCCTGTCCTCCTTTCAAAAACCCTTCCGACTATTATCGTACGTATGTTCCCACCGTGGTGGGAATCCTGCTTAGAAACGGGAATGACGAGGTTAACGATATAATCTGATTGCTTTTAGTGGATCTAGTGACTTTGGATGACTTGTCGGCTGAAGCTATGCTGGAGTCCTCGCAGAGGATAGACCACTTGGCTGAGCTAGCCAGGACGAGGCTACCTCCACTTACTGATCCTGGACCGCCTGGTGCACTTCCACCCTCCATTTCCAGCCCTAACGTATTCATGCAAATCTACGCGTTGCTATTGAGGACGTTGATCTACAGTCAGCCCTGGACGCTAACCAGACTCTTGCGGAAGATCGTCGTCTCGGCGTCGCTCAGTATTTTACTCGGTGCAATATTTTGGGATGTAGCTGGGGACTCGAACCTGCACTTGAGAGACAGAGTAGGCTTCCATTACGCCAGTCTGGGTGTCTTCTTCTGGCCATTATGTATGATAGCCATCTGCGAAGTGGCTGACTGTAGGCCAAACGTAGAGAGAGACATCAAAGATGGCTTGTATGGTAGATTCATTTACATTGTGACAGAGGTAAGTTTACTTGAAACTGATACGTACCTAGCTGTGGATGTTATTGCTAATTTGCTCCTTGTTTCCAGCTGGTTTGCGGAGCAGTGTCTTGGTGCATAGTTTATCTGATCTATCTGGCTCCTGGTTATGCAATGTCTGGGCTTCACCTTGTGCCTGATGAGACTCTGACGTCTCTTTGGAACTACCTTAGCATTGGCTTGATGTATCTAATCCTGCAGCACTTTATTTGTATACTGTTCGCTCACACATGTAAGTGGACGTATCTGGCTTCCCTGTTTTCTGGAATTGTGATAGGGGAAATAACTTTGGCTGGTGGAGTGTCTCTGCACTTGGAGAATCTGCCAGGCTGGTATCAGAAGATCAGTCCAATGCAGTGGACCCTGTCTTTGTTGTTGCCTCCCCTCCATCAGTCTGAGATCATGAGCAAACTAACAAACTGCAAACCAAAACAAATTCAGAGGCAGGATATTATTGTTCAAGCTGCCTGTGAACCACCAGACGGTGCTCTAGCATTATACGAGATTGCTTTGGACAAGTTCAACGTACAAGGAGAGTTGTGGTTGGGAATAGGAATAGCCATAGTTAGTGTACTGATAATTATAGTGTTTCTGTGCATCAGGTATACCACCCCGAAAAGACTTAGAAGCGCGCCAAACAAGCCATAGAGTGCAACAACGAGTTAAATTAACAGACACATCTATATTGAACATACATAATCCATTCAAGTCTCACGGGATATCCTTGTTTCTTGTAGATGTAACCAACTAGCAAAGTACCTTCACAATGTTGCAATCTCTCGAGTACGATAAGAAGTATTGTTTAATGGATATACTTATTTGCTTCACTATCGAATGTATACTTCTGTATTGTATCATGCTCATTGGTCTCAACCGTGTTGTCTATGTTGTGATTTTCTAAATGAAACGTTTTAGAAACTTATAAGGTAGACTTGTGCAATAAAGTTCCAAGAATCGATGGGCCATTATATAGTCGTCTCATGCAGATGCTTCAACGAAATGAAACTTAATAGAATAATCATCCTTTGTAACGCGATAATTCAACGAAGAGAAGCGTTCTTACGAAATAAAAACCAAGACAGATATTTACCTTAATTATCGTCTATTTCTAACTAAAGCTCGTAAGCTAATGAATGGTAAGTGTTTTATTAAAAATCATGCTTTAAATAACAATCAAGAATCCTTTTCCGTTGCATTTCCTGTACATTTTACATTCAAATTTTGCATCACGAATAGAGATCATCGATCTTACAGGATATCCATGTACTCAGTCGGTCTTATCATGCAACTTGTCCGTAAGCTCCATCTACAATGATAACCATGTCGGTAAAAAAATAATCCACCGATCTGCAGTCGGTAAAACGATATATAATTTATTTAAAATTAATGTAATAAGAAAAACTTACTAATTATACACGAAAGAATATATTTAGCCTTACAAAATTAAAACTGCTATACTTAATTAATTATTTATAAATATCAATTCGGAATTCCGAATTTCATGAATTTTGAAAATCGACAGAACAGTAAGTACTTAATTTTTATATCGAACCTCGATTGCAAAAGTGTTTCAGTATTTATTAATGTTGAAGACATTTAAATTATCGCAATCAATATACCGGATGGATAAATATACCTCTCTATTATCGCCACTGTATATATTCCAAGAGATAATCACCGATGAAAATAGACCATCCGTGTTCACTAATTAAACGGATCCGAGATAATTTTATCTCAGACGTATTAATTCGTTGGTAATTTTATCAAATGTCTAATCGAGGATTTATCTAACGTCGATAATCAATCAATCATCGATTCTTTTTATAGTTTATCGGGTGTCACATTGCAGAGCTCGCTTCTCTAGATCGGTAAGGTAGATTGAATCGGTCATCAAAAGTCAATAAGGTGTTTAATCTATTAATCTATCTCATCAGTGTAACGAGTTAACGATAAGATCGATAGGCATTAATTTTTCAAGTACGTTTTATGAAATGATTGCTTATCTCTTCCACCAGCAGACAGGCTCGTCAGGAATCACGTCACATTTATAAATACTGTTAAACACAGTTCAGTAAAATGTTAATAAATGTCAACAAAGATCAGCAAACGGATTTGAAATGAGGCATCGACTAATAATGTTGCTTCCGGTTTCCATCGATCGTCAGTTCGCCGAGTTTCGATATTTTCATTTGAATTTCTTTGACTGTCATTTGACGATATTAATATTAAGTTCGAATGTAAAATTATCGAGACAGGATGCAAAATTTATCAATGTAAGTTGACTTAGACGCATGAATTTCTAGAAACACTTGCTATCTGATAAATACAAATCCAATGATAAAACTTAACGAAAATCTTACAACGTCTTATCTCCCGAGGCAACGAGTCATCGTTCCATAATTCGAGGCGGGAATCGATTACTGAAAGAGGCGGGCTTTCATGTGAAACAGAGCTCCGTTTAGGTTTAAATTACACGTCTTAATTGCGTAATAAGACAAGGAAGAAGGTAATGATAACCATTTTCAGCACGGTTCATACTCTCCCTCTTGATTTATTTTGTTTTTAAATCTTGCGAATTATTTAGACAACGGTAGACCAAGTTACAAAAGTATGTTATTTTTGTAGGTTATGTTAAAATCGAATTATAGGATATTAATTATCAATTAATGGATAATAAATATCAGGGTTTTTAGAGGTATTGGAATATTGTTAAAAATATTTTAAGTTTCAAGGAATAGGAATAGAAGGGTTAAGCATATTCTATTCAAAATTGATAGATTTCACCATAAAACCGTTAATACCAATCCCGCCAATTTTCAGAATGAACAGTACAACATTACTTCTATAATATCGAAGAATTTCGGACAAACAAAATTACAGGAATCATACCGCAACCTCACTTACTAAGGCCAATTACATGGATATTTTAATTAATCCGGTATTAGATCTTTAATAACATTTCTACATTTATATATTATATTCAACTGATCATTTTTTTAACTCTACTAAGGTACTCCAGCCGCCCACGTTGAAAACAGTTTTTTATAAATAACCTCTGTAAGAAATTACATGCACTTATTCACTAGTAACTCTTAAAACATAAACAACAGTAAATAATATTTTTTAAATATAGTATGTTAGTAAAACTACAGTTTCAGTATTTTATAATTGTCCCTTAATGTTCGGGGTCATTATAAATTCCATTATTTTATTTCTATTATTCAACTATTTACTAGCGAAATTTCAATACAAATAAATAATTTTGTGTAAACCTTGTACCCTAGTAAAACAGTACTCTCTCACTATTTTATAATTGCCCCTTAATATTTCTGGAGGCATTATAAATTCCATTATCTTATTTCTATTATTCAACTATTCACTAGCAAAATTTCAATACAAATAAATAATTTCGTGTGAACCTAGTACCTTAGTAAAACGGTATTTTATAATTGGCCCTCGATTTTTTTAGGACCAGCATAAATTTCATGTTATTTCCGTTGTGGCGGAATCTTGATAGGGTTAACATCTTTTTTCCACGAGGTACGCTTTTGTAACGGTATGTATTTACGCTGGAAAAATCGAAGGTTAAATCATGACCAAAAGGTTAAATAATCAACGAGTGTCCCTTTGAAACATCGCTTTTTATTGTTCTAAATATACATAAGACAGCAGCGTGGAATCTCTCCTCGCGGGCCAGTGTATATGTACGTACTTTTTCCAGGAATCCCCTGCGCCTGGTCGCACACAGCCTACATGACGGGTTAATTACTCTCATCGGCGGAAGCTGGCGTTTACGACGATTGCTCATCGTCAATTTATACTAATTTGGTGAACGAACGCCATAGAGGAACTCGAACGATCCGCCATGGAAAAAACAGGAAAAAATAATGAAACAAAGACAAAGATATCGAAACAAATCCGAGGTCCCACGCGTCCAATGATATTTACAGAAATGATCCTAAACCCAAAAATTCCAAATGTAAACAATTATATTTTTTAGGTTAAGCAATCTTAGACAGAGATAAACAACGAGGAGCTACCAATCAGTTGCAACGTAAATTCTTTTTTATTCCAAAAATTGGTAAGTTATTATTTATAAAAATGGTTTCAGATCCCATCGACATTTGCCAACCAAATAGAACTATAATTTACTCAATTAAATGATTATTTGAAACCATTTCTATACAACAGATAATTTCAATTCAATATTATAATTAATATAGAGAACCAAGTAAAAGTTTATTACAATTTTTATAAGGGTATTAATCGTGTTAAACGCTCGGCCGCTCTAGTGTTAACCCCTTAGGCGACAGTCGCAAAAGTTCTATGTAAACATTTGTTTAACATCTCCGTTTTTATTATATCTATTATGTAATAAAGTTCGAACATCCTTTCTCGCTGGGAAATCAGTTCTGTTATTAAGAAAAGCAATGAACTCGAAGGAAAAGAGAGATCAATTGCAAAAGATCTCGGAGGAAAACTCCACTGTTGACTCGCGCGAAAATATTCTGCGGTTAAGGGGTTAACACGTTGACTGGTATGGTGGTCACCGATGACCGACGCTTCCAAATTGTCTGAAAGCAATTACGAGACTGATGTCGAATCGAAATACTCCGTCGTCGCACGAGTAGCTAAATAACAGTCTAACTTAGGAGCTCTGCTATCGAATCATTAATCATTAATTCCAAAGCCATTCGCCTTTGTTATAGAAGAATAAATTAGATTACATAAAACGTTCAAAATTCCCGTGGCGGTCAACTGTCGCCGTAACGGCGAGCATCGATATCTCAAGTCGAAAACTGCAAATGAATAATTCAATTATTCAACCAAGGAGACTGACATGTAGCGTTTTTTCATTTAATATTTAAGACATCGTTGCATAATTCAGTATGAAAAGAAACACTGGAAGTTCAAGACAGTCTTGTCCGTGAACAGTTAACAGAAAATCCATCGTTAACCATTTACACTGCGTTTGACAAGTGTACACGTCATCTTAAAGCTTCAAATGATACTGAGTTATTCTTTTTCATTTTCTCCAGATAAACATATGATTCTTCTTTATTTTTCTTCAGTTTTCCATCAGAATGTACCATAAATGCATTCGTCCCGCGTTCGACGAGTACACACTTTATCAAACTAAATTCCACAGCTAATGGATTAAAGGTTCATCTCTTATGCTGGGAACTAATTCACAGACTTGGCAAAGTGTTGCGCAAAGAATTTCGTTTGTACCTGATCTACACAGATTTATATACACTAATTTTGTTTATTATTTTCTATAGAGTGATACATCTCAAAAGAATCTAGTATATGTAACGCGACAATACTATCAATCTATATGTCATTGGCAATGTCTTTCCAGCGCAAGAGGTTAACCCTTTATTTCTTCCACAACTGCATGGAACAGAATTTATTCCATTGTTTATAATTTGCATAACCGCGTTAACAAAAATCGACCGAAACATTCACCAAACAATACTTATAAAATGAGTGAAATTGACTCGTCCCGTAAATCTAATATTAACACATTGCGTGCGTGCCATTTTGTTCAACTTATTACATTCAATTCATTTATTCAACATATTCTCTACAGTTTCCATTACAAACAGAAATCTCAATCATACGCAAAAGGAATCATCTATCCACTTTCATCAAAAATGTTAATGCAGTCACACAAGTGTTTATTTAGTACTTTAGTACTACGGTACACGAAGATAGTACTTTCACGTTTCCCACATACAATGTGTTAATATGCAATCGTCGTTTCAGAATGGCAAGAGTCGACGAACCAGGTCGCCGAGCACCAGGACGGATAACAGCGATGCCAGCTCAGGGTGGCGATTCGGCACAATTCCTGGCAAAGTCTCCGGGAATGTGTGTACGGCAGGAAGAATAAAAACAGCATACGATAACGAGCCCGTGAGCCTGTCCGCGTGGGCGCGAGCGTATAAAGTTCTTTCGCTTTCTCTCCCTCCTGGTACCGTTCGCCTCTTCATTGATTATTTTACTCCGGCACCGCTTTCCCACCTACCGCCATATGCCCGCCATCCTGTATTAACGGATAAAGTATACGTCCTGTGTACAGGCCGCACACACACACACACACGCACACACGCACGTACACACACGTATTCAGCTCCAATGGCACACGGATACCTCCACGCGCGATCGTATTCTTAGATCCCAGCGGAAAGGGTATTCTCTAACGAGCTAATTAAATGGCCGATCCCCATTGTGTTGCCATCGCACAGGCGCCCGTGGAATGCCGTTGTGTTTGGATAGACTTCGAAGGCGTGTAACTTGTCCGATCGCTGTGCACTTCGCAGAAACGATCCGCGGAATCGCGTTTCCATACGATTTTCCCTCGTTTTCCAGGCCTATTGTCCACGACGCTCGGTTAACCCTTTGTACTCGAATGGCGACTCTCAGTCACCGTTTCGTTTGACATAGCGAAGTTATAAAGTTGGATGTTTAACGCTAGAACTACCAGATGGGTCAGAATTCCTAATTTTTTTTTATAATTATTGAGGCAGATACTTGTTTGAGAGATCATTAGGGAAACTGATTTAGTAATACGTGAATTGATATATAAGCCAATTGTAATCTTAACTACACACTTGTGGCTTTCATAAAGAAATGGTAAGAAGTTAGTTTAAGTACTCGGTAGTTCTGGTGTTAACATTAAGTTTTGCATAATGCATCAATGTGTTAGGTATTGGACAAATATCTTCGTTTCTCATTTTATGCGTTAATTCTTGAGAAGTTCAGTCTCAAAAATGTTGTCTATGGCTCATTAGAGAACGTTGAAGATTTCTAGGGAGAAACTTCCGAGTGCAAAGGGTTAATTGGTCCCGGAGACTTGCAGAACCGTTTGTTGCATTTCGTTTCGCTGGTTGAGTCAGGCCTGTCCAGCCAGTTGCCTGGAGATGGTTGTGAAAGCGAAACGGTTGCCCTCGAAGCCTTTGCAATCACATTTGCCGATGATTCAATCAAAATAGTGGATTGATTGCGAGTTGTCTTAGTTGCCAGAAAGAAATGTCATTGATACAAGTGTCTCTATCGAGAGACGTCTTGTTCTAGATTCATCTCAGATTCTTTCTTCTCGAATCGTTCAAGTCACAATTAACCCTTATCACTCCAATGGGCAGTCTCACTGGCAAGCACGTCAAACAATTGCAACAGGAGAATATGTATGAATTAATTCCCTGGTTGTTGTACTTTATGCTCAGCCAACATTCGTAATTGAATTTCCTGTTGGAAATTAACAAAATCTATTTGGAGCAAGCGAGTGATAAGGCTTAAATGAAAATGAAACAATGCTGTATATGTTCTTCAGTAATTTGATAGTTTTTATTAATTAGTTAAAGATTATAAATTCATATTCAAACTCTGCAAAATATCTAAAGTCTATCACTAATGAATATATTTAAGTCAACTTAAATTAACTTAGTCATCTAAAAAAGATTGACTTAGATACTCCAAATAGTTGCTGAAACGTTATCAAAAATTAAGTCGCTCACAAGCCAATTCCTCAATATTAAGTCAATTTTAACAGAATAATTAATATTCCTCCCAGTTATCAAAGAATTAACTTATTTCTCCATTTTCTAGGTCAGAAATTAATTTTCTCAATGTTTCTTTTCTAGACACAAGCGCATTGTCTTCTGAGCGAGTCAATGATTCACAACGTATCAGCAACCATTAGACTCCCCGTAAGTCGCCAGTCTCTTCTCTCATTACCCACACTAATTTCCCACCGCTAAGTGATATAAATGCTTCCGTTAATCAGGTAAAGACACTTAAAACTGGATCAATAACGCGCAATCCGTTCGGGGTCAAGACAGGCTGGCTGTGAATGGAGCCGGGCATCAGGAATACCGCGGGTAATAGAATCAGGTGCGACACACATTGTATATTATGCACACCGCTCGCCGTAGTACAGTCAGGTATATAATTTATTGAATTGCGTTCCGTAGGATGCGTGTGGAGGGGTGGCGGCCTTGAGCGAGCCGCGCACTTTCATCCGCATCAATAGGCACGGAGCAGGGAACGGGATGAAATCCTATAGGCAGCCCCCAGCCACCGTAGAGGCGTTACATGTCAGGAGGAATGTGGGCGCACCAGTTTCGAGAGTCATTGAGAGAAGCGGGCCGCCTGTATTCAGATTTCTCTGTCTGCGGAGAAGCGCGGAAAGCGACACGTCGATGATCTTGACAAATACCGTCGATTCGCACGTTCATGATCACCCGTTCATCTAACCCTTTCCGGTCGAAGGCCGGGTACAAGCCAGCGACGCACTTTTTCTATTGAGAATGACGGTCGGGTATCGTTCAACTGTTCCATCAACCGAGTGGCTTTTCTTTTGGATATTTTAACCCTTTGCACTTGATTTATTCTCAATATAGGGTGTAAACTTATATTTAGATCTTTGATACTGAAAGTACCGTACAGGTAAAATGACTCATTCCTGATTCCTTTTTAATGTTAAAGAGATATTTAATATCTGTGTGATTAATTGAAGTTTCAGTATGGAAATTCTCTCTTTTTGAGAACTAAGGTTCCCAATCAATCTATTATTTTGATCGTGCTATTAGCAAATGTGACTGCAAAAGCTTCGAGAGCAACAAGCTTTATTTTAACTTTAACACTGAAACTACCACTCAAAATGATTTATTCCTGATTCCTTTTTGATGTTAAAGTTGAAAGCTTGTTGATTTTAGAGCCTTTGCAGTCACGTTTGCTAATAGTACAATCAAAACAGTGAATTGGGAATTTTAGTCCTCAAAAAGAGAAAAGAGTTTCCATATTGAAATTCCACTTTTACAAACTAATTTATATATTACAGTTTCATTATTCATTTCTCAGGAGCATGAAGCTAGTTCCCAAAGTCTTTACAATCACGTTAGCTGGTAGTTTAATTAAAATAATGGATAGATTGCAAATTATCTTAGTCCCCAGAAAAAGGGAGAAAAGAAACAATCATCTAAGATTCCCGAACCGAACCTGAAGCTGAACTTCGAAACGAGGATTTACGATAAGCTGGACTTTAGGTGTGACGTTTGCGTGTTTCCTCTGTCTCCTGTTATCGTGCACGGTCGGGACACGATTGATCGCACGCTGACGGGTATCAGCGGATGGGGAAGCGCTCGCCTCGCCGTTGAAATAGAGCTCTGTTTAATTTACATGGCCGTTTCCGGCCCGGTTTGTATATTTTCCAAAATCTGCCGCAAGCTATTCCCGTACGATGGACCCGGCCACTACGCGATACCCGCTAGACCCGAGCGTATCAATGAACGTTTCTTTCGCCGCGTTCAATGCTATTTCAATCGTTTGACGAACTTTCGGTTTCACCGTGGGACTGCCCACCGGAAAAGCCTTTTAGCAAATTATTACGCTACTCTGTTGCACTATCTGAAAGTGCTAACATATTGTTTCAGATTATTTAGAATCAAATCTAGTTTATTTATTCGTTATCCTTTGAATGATTTATTTCACTTGTCCTTTGAATAATTTATTTTATTTTAGTTGTTGTCCTTTGAATAATTTATTTTATTTTAGTTGTTGTCCTTTGAATAATTTATTTTATTTTAGTTGTTGTCCTTTGAATAATTTATTTTATTTTAGTTGTTGTCCTTTGAATAATTTATTTTATTTACTTGTTGTCCTTTGATTTATTTTATTTTAGTTGTTGTCCTTTGAATTATTTTATTTTAGTTGTTGTCCTTTGAATTATTTTATTTACTTGTTGTCCTTTGATTTATTTTATTTACTTGTTGTCCTTTGAATTATTTTATTTACTTGTTGTCCTTTGAATTATTTTATTTACTTGTTGTCCTTTAAATGATTTATTTTATTTATTCGTTATTCTCTTAATTATTTACTCTTATCTGTTTCAGTACTTGCCTAGAAGTAGAAAACTGGATCGGTCGCAACATACAGGATTGTTCTTTTTTGGTACCTTTCGACCTGATTTTTGCGAAGACACGCGCCACTCAAACGGTTAATCCATACCAAGCGAGACCAGTTGGTGAGACACCCCAACGGTTTCACCTTTAACTAAAAATGTTTTAACATTTCCCCAGGAAGGTTCAATTTGCGTACCCTAGCTTAAAGTGCTCGAGCAAATTGGGCGTGTTGAAACTTGAAATCGATCAAAGGTTGAAGAGGCACCGGGGAATATATTTTATGCATTAATTTTCGTTCAGAAAATTCTGTCTCCAGGGATTCCCCGATAAAAGACTCTAAACGATTAACACTAAAACCACCGGACAGTTGAAATCAATCTTCCTCGGAAGTTCTATTTTGTAAGTATTTAAATCATGAAGTTCTGCGAGAGATTTTCAATTAAATTTGCATATTTTCACAGATACAGAACTAGAAGTCTAGAACTAGAATCTCAAGAAACCTGTTGTTCTAATTTTGATAAAAAAAAATTGGAAACAAGTGACTCTAATTGCTCGGCAGTTTTGGTGTTAAGGACACCGTTGCTCCTCGAACGACGGGAAAAAAAGGAACGTCTCGCAACCCACCGAGTCGGCCACGGTTAGCGAAGAAAGCTGCCGGATGCAGGAGAGGCGAGAGACATCATTATCTTATCTCGAACCATTTCCTGTCAACCTGGGGCCGCTTTTCGTGGTAATCACACGCACACGCCCACGCGTCCGCGACGTATACGGACACGTAGCCGAGCGCGTGCACTAATGCCCGGCCGAGTGTTGAGAAGTATTGCTTCCGGTGCGTTGAACACTCGCTCTGCTACATGTGCGCGTGTGCGTCTGCTGGTCTCGTGTCAGGGGACGTTTACACTGCTTATGTCGCTGTCCCCGTGGAACCCTTGGAAACGGAACGACTTTTCGTTGCTCTGTGATTGGAGTCGTGTTCTTGATCACTCGGAAAGCGTTGTAATCCTGCGAATCTCGAATGACATCAATAGGAACAGGATTTCAATTAACTCCTTGCAATATCTTGTCAGACTCGTGGTGAAGATTTTAAAGAGAATTTAACAAGGATAAATATTAGTCCTTTTCAATTTAAATTAAACGTTATTCTTTTGTTACCAGTAATTATACTTTATAGCGACATGAGATATGCCTAATTCTCTGTTTTCAGTAAATTATTAATGGCAAAGTACTTGTATCGATCATAGTTGAGAAGTAGATTATAGGGCAAGGGGTTAAATCCAATGTAGACCGTCCTCCTCTCACTTTGTAATTGTTTAGTTGAATTAAAAAGGCACTTGATTGGAAACTACTGATCCATGACGTGAATACAGGTGCCATGCAGCGTTGGGCTGGATACATTCAGTCTTACTGCGTCCTTTGACCTCTGAAGAAGTCAGCTGTAATGTTGATGAACCGTCGGTATACTATTCCTTCTGGACACGGCTCTCATCAGGAGGTCTCAAACCTTATTGTAATCCTGAATTATCAATTGCCAATTTACTAATACCCTGTTGGATGACCGAACTATGTCATCTGCAATAAACAGCGTTGAACTTAATGACTGACGGTTTTCAGGCTACCTCTGAATCCGGAGTCGCAGTGTTCAGGGTTTATCCCTAGGGATTCCTAGTTCCATGATGCTTCGCATGACAATATAAACGTACCCTTAAAATTGGTAGATCTAAAACTCATTATGCTGATCATCAGGTACTCATTCACTACACATCTCATATATTCCCTCTAGAATCGTACAAACTGGTGACCACATTCTAATTTCAATATTTCCATTAAATTAATTCCTCCGATTTCAGGGTACTCCCACGGTCTACCAGTTGAACGTTCACCGCGTGAACGGAGATCCCGTTGTACCTGAAGAAGCGAAATCACTCCTGCCTGTACACCTCGCCGCGGAGAGCCTGCGAAGGACCCAGACGCACAAATAAACTCGTAGCGCGTGAGTTTTGCTTTCGATTCGTGGAAACCACCCGTCCGTCCGTCCGTTCGTCCGTCCGTCTATCCGTCCGTCCGGTCGTGGCAGCGTTCGAAACGATCGGCACACTTCCTGCGGATGTTTCCTTTCGACTCGGCGAACGGGCCGGGCCGAGAGGGAGGTCCAGGCGGGCCCCGGCCGCGAGATATTTGTAATGTACGGCGTATCGCGGCGGAAAGGAGCGCGCGTTGCGGCTGGTCAGTATTGCCGGGACGCAGCCAGCTTCGCTCTTCGAATGGATAACTTTTCCTGCTGATAAACCGAGGCTCCCTTTAAGCCGGCGGCCTCTCCGCAGACGGTTCTCTTATCGTTATCGAGATACTCTCGATCAGGCGACGTTTTAATCTACGAATGTCCGCTTGGCATCGAGCTGGTACGAATCGGCCATTCGTCGACTATTTTTGGGTCTTTACGTGCTATATGGATTACCTTCTGTTTTTGAGAAATCAAATGTCAACTGTCCGCCGACGACGACTATGAAGGTCTGTCGGGAACCTTATCTATTCACGGCTTCAAGATTTTTCATTTCAAAAATCAAATGATTAGGTGACTGAAGTTTGTATATTAGATTGGGGACTGTTATGAGTGACTCGGATTTTCAGATTTGTACAGAATTTGTGACAATGAGGAATTTGGCAGCAGGGTGAATGGTACCTTAAAATTGTCTGTGCTTAGTTTAACTCATCAATTAAAATCTCAATAGATGTACCTGGAGTTTCTACAGGAAATTTGTCTGGATTTAAAGAATTGTACAATACAAACTTCGTACATCAAAAACTTCTATAATACAAGTTTCCTAAATTCCAAAAATCGTGCAATCCGAATTTCCTGAATTCAAGAAATTCTACAATGCGAATCTGCCAAATTCGAGAAATCGTACAGCATGAACTTTCTAAATTGAAAGCCTCGTACAATAGAAATTTTCTGAAGTCTCGTTTTTATTCAGGGAATGCTCGTGCAGGAAATTTGTATGATTAGTTAACACCAGCGAGAAACGTTCGCCGCATCGATCGTGCCCCGCGCACACAGGCCCGTGAGAAAACCGAGGTCTGTACCTACGCGCTGCTACAGCCGTTGCGCGCACGGCTATATAGAATCGTGATTGAGTAACCCACGCCGGCAACTTCCGACTGCATCACGAAATACGTAATGTCAGTATTATTAAGTTTGCGCACCTGTTAAGGTCATCAACGGGTGTCACTTACGTCACCTTAGCGTACACACATCGGCGGCGGTGCGATCGCCATAAACGATACACGCGCGTCGCGTCGCGTCGCTTTTCTTCGTTACGTGTGCGCGACACGCGTCACGGGCTTAGGGTACGCTGCCGCGATCAAGGACCCCTCGCGCGATAACAAGCGAATTCGACGTATCAGCTTATTCACGGTTGCAACTCGCCGCGACCGGTTCTGGATAACCAGGACACCGGGTATATGATTGGTGCACCGAAGTTAGGACACGTTAGGATCCCGAGCCTGTGTGGGCCGTCCTTCTATTAAACTGCGATCGATAATTCCTTTAACACTGGAACTACTGAGTGGGTTCGAATCACTCCAACATTTCTTCAATTTTCTGAATTTCCTGAAGTTTCTGAATATCTCAAATCTTCTGGATTTTCTAAATTTAATATTTTCTTAGATGTTCTACGTTTTATATGTCTTCTATATTCAAGCAATTCTTTAAATTATCTAACTTCTCTGCGTTTCCTATATTTTTGAAATTTATTGAGTTTCCCAAATATTCTAAATTCTTTCAATTTTCTAAATTCTACAATTATTAAGGCAACAGATCTGTCTTCTATATTCAAACAATTCCGTGAATTCTCTAGATTTTCTAACTTCTCTACGTTCCCTATATTTTCTAGATTTATTAAGTTTCCAAAATGTTCTAAATTCTTTCAATTTTCTAAATTCTACAATTATTAAGGCAACAGATCTGTTTTCTATATTCAAACAATTCTGTGAATTCTCTACATTTTCTAACTTCTCCACGTTCCTTATATTATCTAAATTAAATCTCCCAAACATTCTAAATTCTTCCTTTGCAATTATTGAGAAAACAACAGATCTGTCTCTAAGAAATAAATAACAAAACTGATTCAGTAATACGCTAATTGAATTCTGAATCAATTCAAATCTCAATAGATGCGCTCGGAGTGCATTCGACTGCTCGGTAGTCCTAGCGTTAACACTAGATTTCCGGACATTTATTGTACACTTCATTCTATTATTCCTAAAAGAATTGGTACTCGTTTATTTAGATTGTGGAAACTGGAGATTTGATAGTAGGTAATTGGGGTACACGTCAGTGTGATCGCATCAATCAAAATCGGCGTAAACATTTACAAAATAATATTTCTAAAATCCAATATGCGTTAATTTGACGCGTTCCGTAAACCTAGCGTTAATGAAGCAGGTTAGCAAGTTGTAGGTGGACGCGTTTAACACTAAAACTACCAGAGGGGTCAAATGACCCATGCCTGACGTCTTCTTTTTGCAATTGTTAGAAAGATAACAAATGTTTCTCTGAGAAATTATTAAAGAAATTCATTTAGCACCACGAAAATTGAATTGTAAATCAATTAAAGCCTGAACAGATGCACTCTTGGAGTTTCTATAGCGAAATTTTCAAAAGTCAATTGATGTGCTCGGTAGTTTTAGTGTAATACGTGTATCGGCCCGTGCACGTGATCCGGACGTCTCCGTTTCGAAACAATAGGCAGACCCGCGCACCCTTTCTTCAGTTTGACCGGTGTAATTATACCTTTCTCCGGCAACGCCGCTAAATACGTCGGCTGCCCACGCCTCGGCCGTGCTAATAGTAGCCGGCCCACAGGTAGCGAAAGAGTTCTCTTTATTTTCCGGAAAGAGAACACCGCCACCGCGATACGTCAGCCGTTGCTTGTTTTACTAGCGTCTCGCGTGACCGGCTCGATAACGCGCGGGACAGGCGTCGTCCCAGCGCGCTGCCGATCGAATTCGATTCGTCATTCAGAGATTCGAGTCTCCGCTGCGTCACAACGCTATCGCGCGCTGCATCGTCCCGGTAGACCGCAAACGTCTTCTTATTTTATTTCCTGTGGGCGGCCGCGATTATGATACTCGAACGAACATTATAGGTGGGTGACGGCAGTTCAAAGATGGCAAAGGATTTTCAAAATAGTACAACTATAACGCAAACGAGTGGGTCACTTTCTTGTACTAATTAGAAGAGAATATTTACCGAGATTCCGTGGGCGAAGACAGTTCAAAGATGGCGGAGGGTTTTCAAAATAGTAGAACTATAATGCGATCGAGTGGGTTTTCTTGTATCAACCCTTTGCACTCGAAAAATTTGTCACTGGAAATATTCAATTTATTTTTATGAGATATAGATGGCATTTTTTTCAACTAACTTAACTAATCTATTTACAAAATAAGAACAATGGTATTTTATTTCCACGTTTCACGTATCGACAAATTACTTAAGACTTAATGTTAAATATGAAATTTTACAATTTTGATGCACCAATGAAGTGATTGAAAGGCACTTTTGGAGTGCAATGGGTTAATTAGAAGAGTATTCACCGAGACTTCTGTTGGGATATATTTTGAAATGCCAGAACTACAAGGCGACAAATTGGTTATTCTTTTATGTAAATTAGGAAAGCGTATTCATTGAGATTTCTATTGTACACTATGAAATACGCGTTGGTAAATCTATTTAATAATTTAGTAACCGGAAAAATCTAGGATAGATAGTTTTTGATACTTTTATTAGTTCTAGCATGAACGACGAGATTCGATATTGGAACTTCCAATTATTCTAGGAGATCAACCCAATATAATCACGAGCAGTTAATTTCATCTGACTCTATTTCCGATGTTAGATGGATCAGGAATAACTCCCATTCGGATCTTTTGAATTCATTCTTTGCCGTCATAATTTATAGAACATTCGACTGCATTATAAACGCGTAGAATTAGGAGACGACTTGATATCTAGTAAAATGGCACAGGGGCAAGAAGTGTCTTCCTAGTTTAGTTCTGCAGTATTGATTGGTTACTTACGACCCTACTGACGAATAGTAAATTAGTGATAGAAAATGTCAGAGAACAGAAAATAACACTAACAGTAACAGTTTATCAGAATTAGCTGATTAGAATTAGATCTAGCAATTTCTATCTGCAATCTTATCACTTGGCCCAGCGCAACAGAGTTTCTAATTATTATTTTGCCATGATTGTAGGTCCAGCGTGGATGTCACAGCTCTCAATAATGATTTAATAATCATCCAAGTGAACATGGACCCATCAGGTAAGAGAGGAAACCCAAATACAAATTTTAAACACAAAAATATATTTATCTAATAATAACAATATTACTGAATATATAAAAACATATTTATAACTGTCTTACTGACAGACATTCTAATCTAAATCTACATAACAGGACTCTTATCTACAAAACCATCAGGAAACCTATACAAACCTACAGCACCCACCTACAAGGAATAGTAGCGAAGATCTACATATCCAAACCAGAAGGCCTACAATCAAATACCCTTAGGACAACTCTAGCCATGGTACATCCATCATAACGAACCACGCAAGGACCAGCAGTTAGCCTCTGTCAAAGGAAATAACGCGGCCATCTCACCGATGCAAGAGAGACCACCCCAATGCACTATAAACAGACACATACTACACAACCCTATAGACTCAGAAGGAAACGTCCCTTTGATCCGGTACGTTAACATCCAAACTGATGCACAAGACACCATCCAGTGGTGTATACGGACATCACGGTACATCTCCGCGCTAATGCAATCTACCATATATCCTACTACAAATGGTAAAAGTGCTCGTAAGAAAAAGCACCTTTCAATAATGACAATAAGTCCGCGGCCATGAAGCTCGCCCGTGATCCGTGACACCGGTGCAGCGCCGGGGCTTTCCTAGCCGAGCCGCGGCATCGATGGAAAAAAAAAGGAAAGGAGGAAGAAGGGGGCTGATAGAAACGAGACGAGGGGAGATCCTTACGTAAATCACTTGGTAAACGGCCATTGATCGTGCGCGGTATCAAGGACGGTGTAGTACGCTCACCTTATCACGCGGCTCTCCCACGCAATCGAATCGAAATTCGTCTCGTTGCACGAACCGGGCTCGCCGCGGCACGCCGAAGGCCACCGACACCGCCGGAGGAGGGAGGAGGGTCCCAGCCCTTTTCGCCTCCGCTTCGTCTTCTCCTCGCTCGTCGCGTCCTCCTCCAACCTACGTTCTGTTTCTAGGGGTCGCGATCGAGCGGCCCTGCGCTGTCCGCGTGATCGAACGTGAAAATCTTCAACGACAGCGGCAGCCCAAATGAATGGAATGCCAGCCCACGCCTGAGAGCCGCCTGATAGGCTGCCTCGATCCGAGGTGAGGCTTCACGTACACACCACGCTGGAGGCGTCAGGGACGTACCGTTTAACGGGGTTGGCTCTGGGAAGAGGTTCATTCATCGAACCGACCGACTGGGTCGGCCCCAGAACCCTCTGACGACCCTCCGCGCGCCTGGCAAAGGACGTAGGGTGCTCGATCAGCGTTATGTTTCATGCTGGCCTGCTAATGATTCAGCTTTTCGTTTCTTTCACCCTTTACAGCCTGCTGGAACACGTGTACGTAAGGTTGTAGCTTTGATGAAGCACAGGGAATTGGTTTTCCTTTTGTTTTGTCTTATTGTTGTTGGATAGAGGCTTTGGTCGAGGTGTTAGGAATGTGGAGTATATGTTTTGTTTGATCTCAGATTTGTTTGGAAAGAGCGGCGAGAATGTTTAAGTCTGTGTTTGGAATATTAGGAATGCTGAGATTAGAGGGTGGAGTTTTGTATTTTAAAATTGATTTTGACGCATCGCGTGGGCGAGACTTGGGGATGGGTTTTAGAGGGTTGCGATATGAGATTGAGGGAGTGGTAACGAGGAATGGCGACCACCGTTTTGAGATACAAGCTTGAAGTTTTAAGGAAGGTAGCTTTTTGAACTTAGGTTTCGTTACCTTGGTGTGTTATTAATTGATGCATTTTGTTATAGGAAAGAGAGGAACTAGAAAGCTCTAATCGGGACGAGTTCATTCGTTAGCCACCATTCTACCGTACAAATTTTTATATTTTTCTTACTCCATAAGATCCATGCGTTTCTAGAATAGCATAACTCACACTGTGTTTATTGCAGAACTGCGGCTGCACACAGGACAACGTCCGTGTAAATCATTCAAGAAGGTTTAAACGGAAAGCTGAAGACCAAGATCAAAGTGTAGCCAAATTGCCCATCGAGGGACATATACGTAACGCGTGAATTTCTGGTTTCCGGGGAATCCTATTCACGCAGTTTCATTCATGCTTGGTGCCTATAGATGTGGAGACTTTTCGAACCTGCCCTGTGGGTGTCATTGTAAATGGGAGGCCGGTCAAAGACACCGTTGGAAGATCCTTGTGCACCGAGTGATTCGCGGGGGGCGACGGCGAGCGTCGCGCCGCACCTGGCTGGCAGAAGCACGTGCACAGGAGTGTGCGTGCACGTCGATACGAGGCGTAGCTCTAGTAGACGGACGGGTGTGCTGTCTTTCTCGCGTGGATCGTAATAATATGCGCCCACGCACGCGTGAGACAGTGAGCGTGTAGTGTACGGGGTCTCTTCCTCCTCCCGGCCGTCTCGCCCGTCAGCCACCCTACCCGTTTCACCGAACGACTCGGTCAGTACCGACCCCCCGACCCATCTACCCACGCCTTGTTAATGAAAACATCTTTTGTCAATGAACTGACGTCAGTCCGGCCGCGGATTGGCCGACCGTCGGTGACCACGTGACCCACGGCCAATCCGGATGATGGCTGGGTCCCCTACACTCGGCAACCCGACCGCCATTTGCCCATTCTGTACGGGAGAACGGTCGAGTTAAGGTGTGGCCTGCGGCGGGCTGGTTCTGAGAGGATTCGCGGGAGTGCGAGTGAGCCCGCGGGACCTGGGTTGCGTGGTGAGAGGAGGAGGGAGATAGAAGGCGAGAC